ACTCTTAAGTGGCGCCTAATTGCCGATAGACACAAGAATAAAATAAATGTTATAGCTTCTAAAAAAAGAAATTAATTCTTATGTCTTCTCCGTTCGCCGCGTCGTCGCCGAGCGTCGTATTTTGGTCTCAGACCATAAATTACTGCGGAGTGTCTCGAGAATAATGAAAAAAAAAACGAAAAAAAATTAAAAAATTAAATTAATTTGACCGCTTTGATAAGTCTAGTGTTAATTGACTTATGTGAAAACTACGAAATCATCTGCAAAGTCTACAAAGTTGCCCAGCGGCTCAAAAAACATTGGTACCAAGACCGAAATTGTAAATAGTCTATCGACTATAAGACTATCGACATTTTCGATCTTGGAACCAATGTTTTTTGAACCGCTTCCTTTCACCCCACAGGCAACAGCTATAATTAAAAGTCCAATTGATCTGTGTCACTGGTTTGTGTCCTTTCTTGGCAAGACATACTCTCGGTGGTTTGCCATTGCATGCCTTCCGAGAGGAGAACACGAGCGAATATAATTTTTCTAGCTCTACCGGGAATCAAACCCAAGACCTTTGGCTCAATAGGCTAGTGCGCTGTCTGCTAGGCCACGCTCGTCATTATAGACGAACGGATGATCTTACTGTTAAAAGAACTGTGAGCGTAGGGGTAAAAGGAGCGCGCCGCTCTCTTTAGATTGATCCGATAACGTTTGAAGGCACTCGTACGATATCACGTCGGAAGAAGCGAAATTAGTGAAGCGAATTTCCTTCCCCGAAGACCAACCGTTCGTAGTTCCTCCCTCGCGATGGGTATTCGCCTTTTACGAAACTTTACGGGGCACCTGTCTCCCCGTCGTCGCTCCCTCGAGCTGCATTTCGTTACGCAATCGCGTCGCACTTGATTCCCCGTCTAAGGAAACGAACGCGTTAACGAGGAAAGGAAAGGCGTGATTTTTCATGGAAAAATCGCCGATAACGCTGAAGCATTCGATGTAACGCGTTCTCCGCGAGCAATAATAGACATTACACGCTCGCCTGTATCTGATCGTGCGAACCTAATCGTTATAACGTCGCCGACGTTAGTCGAGGCAGGTAGATAGGATACGGGGTGGGTGGTTGGTCGGGACTCGTTCGGGACTAAGTGCACCCCTCCTTCCCGTGCCTATCCCCCTACGCGTCGTCACGTAGCGCGGGCCCCTTAGCCGGCGCGCGCTTGAACGTAATTGGGCCCGAGCAAATAAGCAATCACTATATTTCGGCTCGGCAAATATTATAATAACAGACTGGTGGGGTTAACCGGGTTATCGGTCGTACGATCGGTGGTCGGCTCAGGCGTCTTAGACAGCGCCAAAACCAGCACCGACCTGCTGCTCCTTTTTGCGCGCGTCCGCTTACGGCTTATGTTGCCGCTTACCGAAAACGACCCTTCGTTAATATCTTCATAAAACCCCATGCGCGAAAATGTATCCGGCCGAGAGAGCCGGCGATTAATCAAACCGATGCGCGCAGAACGTGGGTCTAATCGAAGAGCAATCTTACTCCAAGATCCTTGCTTCTGGTCGATGACATAAGATCCCTCTCTTAGTCTTTGCTCCTTTTTGTCTTATCGTTGCTTTCTATGGGTGCATTCCGTTTCACGCATGATGCGCATAATGTATCATTTATCCTTGTTGTTAAACCGAATGTTAAACAAGGATAAATGATGCATCATGCGTGAAACGGAATGCGTCCTAAGTAAACAATTCTATAATTTCAGTTCAACTTGAAAATTTTTTTTAAATACATAAAGGCTGATGTGTGAAATTAATCGAAAGAAATAGGAGTTATAATGTTGATATAAATCTCTAAAGCTTAAACTCATATAATACAAGACTTTTATTTTTAATATCAAATATTTTCTCGAGTCAAACTTTCTTGGATATGTTTAATAGAAGAAAAATTGTCTATGTCTTAAACGCTTGTTCCTATAAATTTATAATGCGTTTCTTTATTGGAATATGCGTTTCGTTGTCTTTTAACGATGCAGAACCCGTCATTTATGATGACACAAGTATGCGAGATCGACGGGATTTTCTCACAAAGCGGGATTGGAAGACCGCGTGAAAGTTCACTGTCGGTCCTTTTGGCATGTAATCCACACGTGGAAACAAATGGACCGGAAAGTCGTTCCGCTTCCTTCCCAGTCCCGGCTAATGCGACTTTAATGTCATTGGAAGTTTTTCACTTTACTTCAGTTTCCTGTCGGTGCAGTTGGACCAAGTTGGTCCAATTATCGGTTGGACTCTTGGTCTCACCGCCGATCTCTCTTCCTTGTAGTTATACCCGGCACCGCCGACAATCTTTACGTGATTTTGGACTACTCTTTGATGTTACTTATGAGTTGCTATACGAAGTGCAACTCATGCATTGGTAATGGGAACAAGTGCAGTATAATTTTGGCAGCAATGACAATTATCGAGTTCTCGCAGTTGCGTTCTACTTACCGGTCTTTCAATCGTGAATTTAAGCTTACTAGCGGAAGGAAATTCTTGCAATATACACACATATAAATATCGCCGCGCAAACGTTCATATATATATATACAACTTATAATATATATCTTTTTAAAAAAGGAGGATAAAAAGGGGAAAAGTAAATTGATTAATTAAAACATTTACACATCTCAACAAAAGTCATGGAAAATCTCAGGAAATGCATCTTTAAATTTAAAAGTAATAAAAAAAAAATTAAAAATTAGTTTTGACCGCTTTGATAAGTCTAGTGTTAATTGACTTATGTGAAAACTAAATTAGCTTTGAGCCGAGTAAATTAAAGGGACGAATTTGAACTAATCTACGAACCGTTTTACTTTTCTCACGCTTTTATATATTTCAATTGATATCCGATATACTCCCGATGTTATAAGAGCACAAAGAAAACTGTTCGAAGATCGAAAGAGGCTTTCTGTGCTGGGGGATAATAAACGATTTCGTGTATCTGTGTCTGTGACCTACCGCGGGGATGCACGCTCGAGACGATTAGGCGCAACGCGCCGTGTGCCTGCAGGACTGTTTTGTGTCCGAATGAAATGCGTGTAATCATATTCCAGCGTGCGGTAAAAGATTTTCGAGCGGTCGAATTAACTGTAATACACGGCCGTTACACGCAAAACCAGATGCCACTCTTAGCGTTACCGGTACCGTAACCGGCGCCGTCCCGCGATCGCTACCGCTGCTCGGAGAGACGGCTTAGCTTGCATTACAGGCGCACGTGACAATCGCGCCGATTACGGATTAACGATGATAATCGGTTCGAAACGTGGGCGAAAAGGAAATCGAGAAGCGGAATTGCGTGAAAAGTGTTAAAGGGAGCTGTAAAGGCTACAACCTTGGCTATCCTCGCCACGCGAAAAAATAATTAGACTTATTTTATTATTATTTAAGTGCTGAAATGATGCATATATGTATGCGTGCTTGTATTTTCTTCATTGGTATTGCGATGGAAGAACAAATGGATTAATAATCGCATAACTGAGAGACAAACTTGTAATACCACAGTAAAAAATGCTGTATTGCAGTACATGAAGACATTCTCCTTACTTTCTGCACTTAAATATACAAGGAAATGAGTTTTCTTATTTATTTACGGCTTCCACAATTTCAGCAAACCGTCCTCGCTGTAAGAACATAATAAATTTTGATGGGGATGATGCGCCAAGCCGATCACGTCCTTCTCGTGTATCTAAAAAGGCCGGAACGCTGTAAATCAGGATAAACGGAATATCACGATGAAACGTGAAGCTATACTCACATTGAGCGTCCTTTCGAGCTTCCCCGACGACGTGGAAAAACAGTAGAGCACGAGATCCTCACCGATGCAATAGATAAATTCGCCACGCGGACTCACCACTGTAGTTACAAAGTCACCACCCTCTCGTTTACCGCTGGAGAACGATCTCACTATTTGCCCTTGCATATTCATAATTACTACCGTGTTGGAACGATTGCACACAACGAAATGCTCCGGGTTTCGTGGAAGAGCATGTACGCTGTTCACCGTGAGATCAGCGGCGCCCAATGATTTGTAAGTGCCTATGCATTCGGTGGTCTTCAAGCTCCAAATTTTCACGGTTCCATCCGACGACGCGCTACAAAGTAATGACACTCATTTGCAAAAACGAAAATTATTATTTCCAATTTACAATATAATACCTTGTAATAAATACCTGATTATATTGTGCCCATCTGGGGAGAATATAACTTCGTTGACAAACGAAGAGTGACCGCGGAATTCCTTAAGAGTTTTCCCCGATTTAAGGCCATGTATCCTATAAAATTGATTCATGTTCTGTTAACAATGTTCTATTTATTGCTGAAGTATATTTGAAGTAATTTGTAACTTTTTTTAGTTACTATACTAAGTACCTTATAGTAGTATCGAACGAAGCCGACAATATTTGACTGTTATCTCTGCTAAACTGTAGGCAAGTCACGCCTTTCGAATGTGCTTTCTCGAACCTTCTTAAGCACTGTCCGCTCTGCACCCTCCATACTTTAATTTTACCATCCTGACCACCGCCCGCCAACATCTCGCTGTCGCGACTGAACGCCATCGACAGGACCGCTTGCTCCATCATCATAAAGTTGTCCTGCGCCTGGTACTTCAAGTCCTTCCTAATTTTGCCGGTCGTGAAGTTCCACACTTCGATAAAACCATCCACCGAGCCGGTCACCAGGTATTGGCCATCGGGCGAGAAACGCGCGCACTCTACGTGTGATTTCTGGCCGAATTTGATTTGCTTCGACAATTGCGTCGGGTATTTCTCGTCCTCTTGATCGCGAACCGCCGCTTTTCCTCGGAACAAATCTATCGTGGTGCCAGGAGGCAGCAGACCCTGATGCTGCTGCCATTTTAATGCCTGTCCCAATAGAGCGAGCAATCTGCTAGATGGTACTACCGACACTTCGCCAGCGAGAGCAGTGGCTATGTACGCTCTCCGTTTTTCCTTCGTGCTTCCGTCGGGGTACGCCTCGCGTGGATCAAAATATGAGCGTGCAAGTAAATTCTCTGCAAAGCAACGTACATATATCGTAAGCAACATTGTACAATAGTTAAAAAGTAAAAAAAGAAATTTGATCAAAAATGAGGTATAGATATATACCTAAGTGAATGTATCTCTCGGGTTCTTGTTGCTTCATCATGATCATTGGATCAGTCTGTCTCAGCAAGGAACGTGCCGCGCCTAATTCTCGCAGTTCAATTAGTTCTAAAACAACCTAAAGAATGATAAAATATATTTAATATTGATAAATATTGTTTTATAAAAGTACAACAGCGCAATCAATTATAAACCTTTGATTCGGATCTACGAAATATTTAGAAAAACATCTGTGTATTACAGAAACTAAAATACTAAGAAAACAAAATAGTATACTAAAGACTGTTATATTACTTTTAAGATATAATTCTAATTTAATGTATCTACCTGCTCGTACAGGTCTATGAGTTTTTTGTCAGGTAGCTTTAATGACTGTATAGCTTTCAGAACCGTGTCCCAATGGCCATTATTTATATCGGCAACAAATCCGTCCACACTGTCCACAGTATTCAGCGACACCCCCGTCTCCTCCTGTGCACAAAAATACATTAGCAAGCGAGCAACGAAGAAAAGCCTGCGTTAAAAACCAGTCAAAGTTAAATACCTGCAAGGTTTGCAGCGTCTTCACAAGATTCGACTCCTTCAGATACTGCTGTATCAACCGAATTACACTGCAAAACAATAAAGTACACGATAGCAGCTTGTCGACAATTCTGGATATTAGTCGAAACAAATTAAATAAAATCGAAATCGTTTTACTCACTCGGCAGACTCTATTTCGATCGACATCTCCGGGTATTTTGCAGTTCAGCAGGCAGGCAGAGCAAACGCTTCGACGCTCAGAGGTTATGTGTCCTAAGCAACCTCCAGTGTCCGGCGACGAGATTTACCGTACGTCCGCATCGTTCGCGGACACGGTGCAAAACGAAAACGCTTGTGGCCGCCTGATCGTAATTACTAATTAAAAATCGTCCTCCCGGTCCTCCGACAGAAACAAACTCCCGCAAAGTCGGTCGGTCCTCCGCCGCGCCAGCGAACAGCCGCCAAGAGTTACCGGCCGCTCTCGTCAGATAGCGTCGCGACGGACGTCGTGCTCCAGATTCACCTCTACCTAGTCCACCCTGGTCCGCAGCGTCAATAACACACGGGGGCTACACAAATAAAATGCGGCTATTTAAAATCCGCTCGTCGACAATGTGAGAGCCGCCGATCTTTAACTGGGCCGTGAGTATCTCGGGACGCCCGTCTCTCGCCCCCCCGCGCCCCCCGTTAATTCTCGCAGCCGCGAAAAATCGGCTCCGACGACGACCCGCAGGGTTTCGCGTACATCTGTCAGAAAGCGATGGCAAAGTATATATTTTTTCTTCGCTTTATTTCTCTCTTATTCGTTATTTTCCTGAGAACATCCTATTGCCTCGATTGCCTGTCGTTTCAGTTCGGAGACACTTGGAATTGTGGAGTATCTCGAACGCGTGTGTGTTTAACGCTAAGTGCAAGTTTTTGTGTGTGCCTTTCAGATCAACGGCCACTTCCCTCTAATCATGAAGGCCAGTCTTCTGTTTGCTATTCTGCTTCCAACGTGGGCCAGCGCGGTCGTGTGTCCGCAGCACTGCTCGTGCAAGTCGGTCGGTGCTCAGGCCGAATGGCTGCGTCTCAAATGTGGCGACGACTTGGCGGAGATCAAGGATGTGGATGTCAACAAAGTCAGCGTGGAACTTATACAACTGTAAGGCAGTGCTTTGTGCTTTCTGTATATACTTTTGGTTTGTGGGCGATGGTGCGATAATAGCCCAATCGATTGCAGGGACTTGAGCAAAAATGTCATTCACGTCATTCAAGCGGATGCGTTTGCGAATCTGACGAATCTCAGGCGACTCGACTTATCGAAAAACAACATTACTTCTGTGGGCGAGGACTGTTTCAATGGCTTGGAAAACTTGGAGCGATTGTAAGAACTCGTACATGAGTGAAAACTCACCGGTAAATTTGCTTCAGTCTCTATAATCTCATAAAACTCGTGATTTCAGAGATCTGAGCCAGAATCAGATATCAACAATAGACAGCTATGCGTTCAAGAAATTATCGAACCTCAAAAGGCTGTAAGTGTTAGAGTGAAAGAGCTGATAAGAGCATATAAATATTTTCTTGTAAAGATATTTCCTTTTGTCTTATGCATTCTTTGCTTTGTTGCTCTAGCGATTTGTCTGGAAATAAAATTGCTACGCTGGCGCCATCCTTATTTCATGATTTGTTGGCCTTAGATCGTTTGTAAGTTAACGCAAGATTTATTTACGTTAGCAGATATTAATTTTACTAGCTTTCTATGTATGTATATTATGTATATACATAGAAATGTACTTTGTATTACACAAACCCGGGTCTCTATGTTTTTAGGAGATTAAATGGAAACAGTTTGACTACTTTGAAAGAGGGAACGTTTCACGGGCTCAAGATGTTAAAACAACTGTGAGTAAAAACCGATTTGCATTTATTTCTCAATAATATATCTGTATAAAATTTATAACACTTGTGCGTGTTTCAGAGACTTATCGAACAATCCTTGGAAATGTGATTGCGACCTATATTGGTTCAGTAATTGGATCTACAATTCTTCAATTAAATTAAAGTAACGTATATCGTATCTCTGATATCAATTGCGATTATGTACATTGACAATCTTTCACGTTTGATTTAATATTTCAGCCCAACGCCCAAGTGCGCGTCGCCAATAGTTGCCAAAGGGCAGTCATTGAAGAAATTAAGATTCTTGGAGGATCTTCAATGTCAATGGATATCGCCGGCAATTGAAATTCGTCCGGTTCAAAATCAAGTGGTTTTCGCTGGAGATTCGATTACCTTGAAGTGCAGAGCGCCCAGTATCACGGTAGACAAAAGCGCCAAGTTGAATTGGTTGTGGTATCCTAATGTTACCGCCGAAATCGTGGATTTAAATGCTTACAAGGATCCGCGAAAGAATTTACCCAACATTAAGGTTGACAACAGGTACCTTTCGGATAGCGGCATCGTGGACAGGTAATATAAAGTTCCTCGAATTACTTGAAAAATATTATATATTAAATAATCATTGTATCATTCGTATTGTCTCTCAGTGCTCTTAGTATAGTCCCAATCAAGGAAGAGCATAACGGACAATGGAATTGTTTACTGGTTTCCGTAAACGGCAACAAGTCGAAGGCAATCAGCGTTATTGTGATATCCGAGCATACGCGTTATTGTCCTCTAGCAGGTAAGAAATCGAATCTTGCAGCATTAAAGAACCGCTCATCACGTAATCTCCTTTCAGTAACAAGAAACAACAAGGGCATTTACACGTGGCCGAGAACGATAGTGGGATGGAAAGCTGAGCTGCCGTGCGAAGGCAGTCGTCTGTCGGGCTTGATGCAAGCGCCTTTGAAAGCTTTTTATCACTGTAACACGAGCGGTCAGTGGGAACATCTAAATACGGAATCGTGTCCATACATATCTCATACAACGAAAATCTTGGAGCAATTTTCGAAAGTTAATCTATCCTTGACGAAAAGCAGTCTGCTAGAGACGGCTAAGAGATTCAAAAATTACACGGGGAATGGCTCGGTGAAGTTAACAGATCCGGTCGAAGTTCACTTCATTGTACGAACCATAGAGAATTACTTGAGCTTCTTGATAGACGAGAAGGAACTCGGAATCATGTTGGTCGACATCGTCAATTCGATGATGAAATTGCCGAAAGAGATGTTAAAGAGAGCGGAAATAAATTTCAAAGCCTGCACGAGACTGATTAAAGCGATCGAGCATATTATAGAATTTACACCGTCCATACAGTCACATAAAAAGTATATGGCGCTCGAGGAGTTTCGTGTTAAGCGCGATAGTTTTGGCGGATTGACATGTACGTGGTACACAAATATCGCTGCAAATACCGATTCGGACGCGAGATTTCTGCACTGCACAACGATTAACAGGACGACGCCGATCAATACGAAGGATAAGGCGATAGAGGCTTCCATTCAGTTACCCGCTTCTTTGCTGCATCACGGTGCGCAAGACGGTGTAAGAGCTCAACAGCTTATGATATCTATGTACAGCGACAGCAGATTTTTTCCTAAGACGATTGCAAACAATAGCATGGACATATCAACGTGTATCGTCGGCAGTAAATTAAGTAAGTCGAAAATCGTAGCACATAGAATCTACTTTCCACGATTTCTTTAAATAAATTGCGTAATTTTTTTTTGCAGTTGGTACGTCAATGCGAAATTTGTCCGAACCGGTTTATGTCATGTTGAAGGCACCGTTGTATCATTATAACGGGAAAAGGCCGAGACCAGTGGTGTGGGACGAAACGTTAAATAACGTGGGAGGATGGACCAGTGATGGATGCCATTTAACCAATCTATTGAATAATCTGATAGTTTTTCATTGCGATAGATTGGGATATTACGGACTTTTGCAGGAAGTTTCGCATCTTGATATGGATGGAAATAGGTATAAAGCCTTCTTATACGTATATTTTCTTCGAGTTTTTCTTTCGATTGCCATTCTATTGTTATCGCATGTGACTTTTGCAGTTTGCACGGAGCGAAATTTAGGTACTCGCATCCCGCGATATATATCGGAAGTTTTGTGACGATAACTTGCTTGATGATCATGTCCGTGACGTATATTATCTCTTATACGTCTATCACGATGCCTAAGAAGGCGAAACACTCGGTTATCAACACTTGGTTCGCCATGGCGCTGTTAGCGTTCCTATACAGCATCGGCATCCAGCAGACGGAACACATCGAGATTTGCCAGGGTGTTGGTCTTGCTTTACATTATCTGTCATTGTGTTGCCTTCTGTGGATGGCAGTGTCTGCCAGGTAACTATAGGCTTGTACTTTTTTTTTAGCTGAATCTCTTGCACGGTTCATCTTTCCTGTTTCTCTTTTCACGTTGGAGAGAAAAAGAAAGATGAACTGTGCAAGAATTCCGCTAAAATAGAACAGATATTTTATTGCATGCTTATCAAAGAAAATGAAGCATTAATCGAGGTCCTTCTGTTTCAGCAATATGTATAAGAAACTAACGAAACCAGGCCTCGATGTAATACCTGACGACGAGCTTCCAGATCAGCCTATACCCAAGCCCTTGTTAGGACTCTACCTAGTCGGATGGGGCGTGGCCTTGATAATCTGCGGAATATCCGGCGCGATAAATCTGCGCGAGTACGCCGGTTACTCTCATTGCTTCCTCACGTCTGGTCCGGCGCTTGCTGCGCTTTTTATACCGTCCGGAATCTTAATCGGGTACCTGCTAATCTTCCTCTTGCTCATCAGACGCGCGATTCAAAACGTCGACACGAATACGCAATTGTCCGAGGGTACTCAGGCTACGGAGAACATGGATCTGGAGTTGTTGGAGCCGAACGCGAATCCTTCCGGGGACAGGAACAGCATGCGTAGCACGCAAACGGTGTCCTCCGATATCGAGGACCCGGAACACTCGCAGTTCACGCAGTGGAAAGGTCAAGTCATAATGTTGCTGTTGTATTTGATGTCCTGGGGTGGCGCGGTCGCGGTTACGATCAAGCCGTTCGATTCCATGCCGTTCGAGGAGACCGTGTTTGCCGTGGCGTACGCCATCACCACGAGTTCGCTGGGTGTATTTGTACTGTTCTTTTACGGAATCGCTCGTAACGACGTCCGGAGCCAGTGGCTGAAGATGCGATGCTGGCTGGAGAAGCGCAAGAATCGTTGCTGCCGCACCAGGAGCGTGTGCGACGCGAACGTCGCGATTCCGACGCAGCCGCTGGTGCAAAATTTTGTCCCGCCGTTGTCGAATTCGCAGGTCACCCAAGCGATATCCGACACGAATTCCGTCGCTTCGTCGAGGAACACCAACCAGTCGCAACAAATCTACAACAGCTCGAAGCTCGCGGACTTGGCGGTCAATCGAGAGAGCATGCCCGCCGTTTCCGTGAATACGAAAGCGGCGAACCTAATAGTAATGCATCGCCATCAGTATCGCTCTAACAACTCCGTCACCACATATACCGAGCCGTCGTCGGCTTGCGTCGAGATGTTCTACAATCCGCATCAGAGCGGCGTCGCCCGGAAGTTCTTCAAGAAACAACGTAGACACGCGACCGCGAAGAAGAACAATCTCGGCCCGAGGAAGCAGGGCGACGGCGGGGCTACTAGTGACGGGGGCAGTTGTATTTCCATACCACGGCCTACCGCGAAGATCAACAACAGTCTGGAACGCAGCATCCTCAGCAGCAGTGCTAAAGTGAACAATACCAATATACACGTCGAGCTGAACCCCATAAACGACATCAAAAACGTGAATATATTGTCCGACAGCGGCGGCAGCATCTCCGAAGAAAGAAACATTCCGATACGCTTCGTCATCGGCCAGGAGAATCTGATGCATAGTATCAAGAAGATCAACAACAACGCGCAACAGGACAGCCCGCACGTTAACGTCGTAATGTCCAATACGACGAGAGAAACGTCGCAGTCGAGGAGAATGGCACACGACTCGGACGCGGACGTTTCGAAGACGGACGAGGAGCGGCACTTGCGAAACGTCTCCCAGCAGTGCAGCTTAGAGTACAGCTCTGAGATGGATACCGTCACGCAGATGACTAGCGAGCGGAGCGATCACAATCTGCCGGAAATCTGCGAGAATATGGAAACGACGCAGGAGGAGCGTTTCTCGAGGTGTCCCAGCGTGGACGAGGTCGAGGTCATCGCCGAGGAGGAATGCGCGTCGAGAGACGTGGGACGGTTATATCTCTCCAACAGCATGTACTGCCTACCGTTGGAGCACGAGAAACCGCTGATGAACAGCTATTGCAATTCCCTGAACGACATCGCGTCGCTGATGAGCACAAAGTATCGCGAGTACTCGAAACCGTCGCTGATAGATGTACAAAGCACAACCAGCTCGAATCTATGCGGGCAAGAAGTTCCTGAGTCCCGAGAATCGTTCGATCGTTCGGAACGTTCGCTCTTCGAGATAAATAGCTTGACTAGTGATAATCCGTGTACGTTGACGCCGCCGCACGCGGAGACCCCCTACGCCTGTTCCCTATCGAATATCTATTGTACCTCCGACAAAAGTTTGGAGGAGACCAACTCTCGCGAGGAATCGCAACTGCCAAATGTGATTTTGGATCACAATGTGTTTAACGCACCCGAGTCCAAGAACCTTTTGCTGGAGAAGAACTTTAATTCTCTCGCGGATATTCCGTCAATTAGTAGGTCTAGTTCGCGCGATATAAATAATCTCAATTTAATCGACGAAATGAACGCGTGTGCGGAACCTGCCAAGTCGAGTGATATACAACAATTCGAGGCTAATGAGATCTATATAGATGAGCCGATGAGCCATTTGCCAGTTAAGAAAGAAACGAGCGTTTAATATATAATTCCATATTATGTAATTTATATATAAATTATACATAATTTATATATAAACTATGTATATGCAGCATTATATATATATGTATATGATTTATATTTATATATACATATATATAATAATACTTTGTTCGTCAACTACAGCGATGTATTTATTTTTATGCATAATTTCATAGACTGCGCAATATGGAGACTAGCACGTTTTGTAATTTGTATTTTACGATTTTTAGATTAATCTTTATTAGAATCGAGAGTTCAATGCGCCCTGTATTAAATGCTCATGACTCTTTGCTATTTATGTCGCGTTTAGAGACGCGATTATTTAAAGATTTTGTACATAATGAAAATTTCTCGCCTATGAAATAAGTCTTCAACTTCAGAACTTAGTAGTTCATTTTAACTAGTATAAATATCATATGACTAAGAAAAAAGCTTTTGAAACGACTTCGATCAATTGAAGAAGTTAGATTCAACAGATTTGAATAATCTTTACAATATTGCCACAGTCCAAGTATCGGGTACTTGCTGTGGCATGCATATAGACAAAACACACTGATTGCAAAAGAGGAACAATACTTTAACTAACACAACGAAACACAATCACAATCGGAAAATCTTTAAGAACATCTTTCAGTTCATTAAGACATGCCAATCCGACACGCCGATTCCAGTGGGATTTCCTTTTTAAAATTAAACGGCTTGTCATGGAGATCGGTCTTCAATGTTGAAAACTTAATATTGATATTTCTTAGCTAACTCAATTTCGCATTATTATTCATCGTATCCTGAATAAATACTCTTCAATATATGGGGACATGATTGTAAAATCATTTTGGCTGTGAAATATTTCTCCTTAATTTCATCGAGAAATTTACTTGATAATTATCACATTTTGACTTTATAGCATATTATCGTTTATGTAATTTTGTACAAGTTTAGAAATATTTTGCCGCATGTATATGATCTCTAAAGTGAATATGGTAGTGCGTTTTATTTTAGCAAGGTGATACTTGCTTTGTACAACTGCCTAATACGAATTAAGAGATAAGAATGGGATTTCTGTAAACCGAAGACTGAATATTAATCTAAATTTATGAAACTGAATATTACCACCGACTTCCACATAAGTATATATACGTATACATATATCTTAATGACAAACCTCGTTTTTAGTAACGATGCCTAGTATTATATTGTAAATAATGTTCACTTAAGTTTTTAAGATGACTGTAGTTTGTATTGAGCGCGTTAAAGCAGGTTGAGAGATTTTATATACCACATTACTTTTGTCTTATTATTATTTTTACTTTTATATATTAATTTCTTCAAGAAATATAAATTTCAATGTACGTACGATTGTATACAAGATCGGTTATTAATTAATACATGTATATTGTACAAAATTTGTGCCTATTTCTTTACACGATCATTTACGTCATAGTTCTATAATGGCTGCAGTCCATTTGATGCTGCAAATGCTTTGAAGCGTTCTTCTTCTTCTTCTTTCTTCATTAAGAGAAAGTAGAAGAAGAATACTTTGAAGCATTTGTATATTAAGTGGACCGCAGCTAATACCTGGCACTTCAATCCAGCTGATGTTAAATACATCATCAACGAAATACTACAAGTTTCATACATTTGTAAATTTGTAAACCGACTCTCAAAATATCGATCTGTAGATTTCTACCATTTCAGAGATCCCGTTTATAATCTATATTGCAATATTACCTAGCACCCTCCTGTAATTTTTCGCAATTGAAAAAGTCACTTGGAGATTATCGCGAACTACGCTCGCGCATTGTCCGACTTCGCTTCGCCCAGCCAATCTTTCGGATTTTTCAGCACCTCCAGAAGCTGCGACTCCCTCGAACCGGCTTCAGGTTCGTGCATGTACTCCCATTTGGCGTTCAATGGCAGAGACATGAGTATGCTCTCGTATCGCGCACCGGGCGTGTACAGGCCGAACTTGGTGCCGCGATCGTAGATCAAATTAAACTCGACGTATCTACCCCGTCGCAATAGTTGCCATTGCCTCTCGCGATACCCGTAGCCGTCGTTTTTATGCTTCTCCACCAAGGGAATGTACGACGGAATGACCGCCTCGGCGCAAGAGGTAACGAACTGAAACGCCTCGTTCTGACTTGGGGTGTCGAGGTCGTCGAAAAATATCCCGCCCACGCCGCGCCGTTCTCCACGGTGCACGATATTGAAGTAATTGTCGCACCATTCCTTAAACTTCGCGTAGTAGGAGGGATCGTGCTTGTCGCACGCGGTTTTCAGCGCTCTGTGAAAGTGTTTGGCATCTTCCTCGTTCAAGTAGTAAGGGGTAAGATCCGTCCCGCCTCCGAACCACCACTGCGTAGTGCCATCCGGGTTGGTCACCTCGAAGTAGCGGTAATTAAAATGAATCGTCGGAATCATGGGATTGCGAGGATGAATCACGGCGCTGACTCCGGCCGCGAAGAACGGTACCGAGTCTCCCATCTTCTTGCCGCGTGCCCTCATCTGCTGGACCGCGCTCGGCGGTAACACGCCGGTTACGACGGAAACGTTGACGCCAGCTTTCTCAAATACCCCTCCATCTTGCAGCACGCAGGTGACACCGCCGCCACCCTCCTTCCTGGTCCAACGATCCACCTTGAAAGACTTGTCGGTCTCCAGCGCCTCGAGGGCCCTGCAGAAATCTGCCTGGGTCTTCATCACCAGCAGTTCCATTCTCGTTTTCATGTCATTCTGGCTTTTCTGCAATTTTTCAACGGCTGTGATAGGCTCCGCCATAAAGTTTTTAATGTAACTATGCAGATCATTCTGCGCCGCCAGAACTGTAACTTTAGATACACTGTACGCCGCGAGCCCTGTTAGAATTCCTGCTCCGACATGCTTCAGGTTTTTCGATCTGCTCCATGTGTAACAGTAAACGCCAATGGAACGTAGGCCTCTCCGCACCATAAAGCTCGTAGCCATGCTTCTTTCCTAATTATTATTTTTTTTTTTTTGAACAAAATTTAAAGCCTTATTTCCGAGTACGTTTGTCACAAAATAGTTTTGCGATTTTATAATCAAGAGATATTTTCTGATTAGATATCAGATTTATTAGATTAAAATGATTAAATTGATAAGTACTAAATATTTTTTATCACTAATAAAATGTAGAAAGTACCTTCCGTACCTTGTACAATAGCTTCTTGTTGCCGTTCGTGTCTGGATCTATTCACATTGTTATTGCGGATGTTTTTGCTGCTTCAGAATTTAAATGCAAAAGAAAAAATTTTAAAGCATCTCTCGATGAGGTTAATGAATCAGCTGACGGAGCAGTGTACGTGACAACGTGGGCAGACAGAAGCCTGTACACTACCGCCAGTACATCCATTTTCGAAATTGGTACTATGTAGCCACGTTCATTTTTCGACAATGCCGATAAAACATCATTTTGGTGCGCGTCCGTGCTACATCTGCAAATGCATATACATATGTATATATACATTGCAGGGTTGGAAAGAGAAATAGTGTGAGAGAGGGCTATTAGATATTTAACATATAATATTATAAACATATATTAAATAAGTTAATATATTTATCGATACAAGATATAAATATTAAACTGATCCTCAGTCAATTTTACAATCGAGAATATTTATATTTTACACAAACACATGTATCGATAAATATTTAACTTTTATTTTATATATTTATATTATATATTAAATATCTAATAGCCCCCTCTCCCTCTTTCACTTTTTCTCTTCTTTTATTTTCACACTTCTCAGACAGCGCAATGTCCAAAATCGGCACAATGTCTAAAAAAATATGTATGTATATCTCCTATTAATTTAAAAATCCGAATACGAGACAATTAACAGGCCTTTATTGAAAATTTTCTAAGTAAAACGAATAATAATAATATTTATAAACGAATAACATCGTCATTAACGCGACTGCAATGCGCAATTAATTAACATCATTGAAATATGGTATATTTTCGTGCATTTCGGAGAATATTGGAAAGTAAGAAGAACCCGTTGACAACAGAATCGAATGCCAAATAAATCTATTTTAAATATACAATGATTACATATACATTAATTATAATTATTTATACAAGGTACTCAAGTACTCAATATACGTACAACGCATCATCCTGCAAATTGGATCCATACTGTATCACACGCATATTATACTATTTATTTTTACATATTCAAATTTTTATAACATCTTTTTTAAAATCATATTGTACAACCATTCGTTTGTAACGAGCGCATACGTGTTTGATAACAAATAAGTACATTTACAAAATCTCTACCGTATAAAATCTTCCGCATATCTCGTGTTTCTGAAACAATTTGGAGGAGTTAGACTCGTTGCATAGTGGTCCTAATTAATATTGATATTATATGTGCAAGCAACGAATATTGGTAAAGCCTCCACGAAGCAGGCCGTAAAATGCATTCTCGTGTATTATAACTGTGTAGATACATATATATTTATCTCACTGTAGCATTAACTTTTTTTTTTATAATAAATAGCACAATAACATTAATGTTTCTTATTACACGTTGGTTCTTTGCTAAATATGTGCACACATTGGGACATATCATCAAATACAGCAAGCGTTATCGTTTAATTCTTAACAATGTTGAAAACGCACGAATTTTCGTTTGCACCTCTGGCACTTGCGCCAGTGTCTCCTCCATCATGTTCCTTAATTTCGCCAGATCTGGCATTTTCTCGCATGATTCGATATTTAACAGCTCCGTGAAAAATTGTTCCCAAGCAGCTTTCTTGGTGTACCTGCAACACATAAACGATACGCAGCATTAAAGTTTCTTACGCGACAAATATGATTCTTTTCTGGATTAATCATATGCTTATTGTTACCTTGGTAATTTCGAGGCAATAAACCAACGGCCGTCTATGTTAGATACTCTCATATTATTGCCAAACAGTAAATAATGACTGGTCGCCGCTAGACAATACAAATCAGTCTGATATGTCCATGGTCTTCCAGTTTGCATTTCAATGCAACTGAAATCTCCCGTTTTTATAACTTGCGTAAACGTTGTATTTTCTGGCAACAGTTTCATGTCTATACTACTTCCAAAATCTATCAGCTGTATAGTTGGCCTAACATCTTGCGTAGGTCTGTTGAGGATTACAATGCAATTATATAGAGATATTATAATAATTTAATATGTGACAGAGTTATCGATTATTTATAAATTTTCATTCAGCTAATCTCTCTGTTCTTATGATGCTTTATATCACTAAATAGGAAAGACCTTTTTTCTTCAAGAAAAATAAAATTATTATAAGATTCTCGGAAATAATTGTTAATTTAAATGCTTTCAATGATTTCGTAACTTAATTGTATAAAATTAACATTGAAAACATCATGCACGTCACATATTAAATGATTAATGACTGTATTGTTTATCTAATAGAAAAAGTTATTAGAAAAAGAGGTAATACTAACAGTCGCATTAACAAAAAATTATCTGGTTTTATGTCCCCATGTATTATTTGACATTTATGTAAATACTCCACAATTTGGAGCATCTCGATTGTGAAGAAAATGCTTAAAGTTTCCATCAGAGGCTTGCCGCCACAGACAATTTTTATCTGTTCCGTCACTGATGATAATGTTTCGTACTTAGAATATTCTGAAACTAGTACACTTCCATTGTTGGCCACATATGCCATTGTAACATCCATAAAGCCGCGTAACTGAAAAAGAATATTATCACAATGTTATGGAAGAATTAATTTGCTGATAAGTAAAAAAAAATCATAAATATGAATAATGAATTAAAAGGTAAGAGTTACACTATATCTGTGTTATACTGTACCATATGTGGATTTGTAAGACGCGTTTTTATTTCTCGTACGATATAATATTCCCAAACCCAAGCAGGTCTTTGCGTTTTAAGGGCAACAGTCTCGCCTGTTTGCAAATTGACTGCTTTAAAAACTGTTCCATACTTTCCTTTACCAAGGCACTTTTTCAAATCATACGCCTCGGTATCTGCACAAAATCACACAAGCATAAATATTACATTAATGCGTTAATGCAAAAAATAAAAGCTTGTAAATATATTTCAATAACAGTACGGTATGAATTGAATACTGACCGAGCGTAATCGTGGTAGAAAGCTCAGAAGGTAGAAGCTTATTTAGATCGGCATCTATTCTTTTGTATCCATCTGCATGATGGGGTTGTGGAAACTTAATTTTTTTCAATAGGCCAGCTATTAAGTTCTTGTCGAATGGATTTATATCTCTCGATGGGAGCTCAAACATCTCTTCCTCCACTTGTTCCATAGGTTCATGCTCCTCGCACTCCATGGTGTCAACATTTTCTGAATTGAGTTGTAAAGCCTGTTCTAATAATCGCTCAATACTTTCCTGGGATTCTAGGATACTCATTGACATGAGATGCTTCGAGGTCATCTCTTCCAACTGAATTCTGTGCAGCGAGATCTGTTCATTTAACTGATTTAACAAATCCTTCTCCTTCTGGAAATGCAAGTTTAGCATACGTCGTGTGTTTTTTATCTCGAATTTTAACTCGTCGAATTCCATGTGGTAAAAATTTAATGCATTCTGTCTTTTATTAGAATCGGCCAACAATTTGTTATAGTTTTTTAATAATAATTTCATGCACTCTTCTAAATTCCTCATTTTATCCTCGTAATTCGAACTTACGAACTTTGTTAGTTCGACTGACTCCGAAATTAATTTCTACGAATAGAATATTCGAATGAAAAATCAATATATAGCCACGACCTTTTTCTTTAATTATTGTAATAGCTCGTTGATAATTTGAATATTCTCATGAAATGCTTACCTTTTGATCATTTATCTTTATACAGTAATCATTGATTTCTGCGTTTCGCGTTTCCATCTCTATCTCCAATGTCCTGATACGCTGACGAAGGGCCGTCACATACGCTTCATTATATTCGCTCATTGTTCGAGAGCACGCGGTAGCGCGAGAATAATATAATTTAAGCGGTAGCACGAGCGGTGTTTACTGAGCTTCCTCGGCACAGCGGCGAACCTTTTATTATCTCCGAGACGAGGCTCTCTCTGGGCTAATCACTAATAAATTTAAACATTGAAGGATGTTAGAGGACTCAGGAGTGTGATTGGTGGCTACGGATCGCTCGCGGAAACATTTGCACTTGGCATGCGCGGAGTTCGAATTTCGGAAGGGTGATAGGCCATCGGCGGCCCACGTCATCGTCCCTACGTCACATTTTTCGTTTGACGATCCGAGGTAATCTTGCTTGTTTTCGATCACGATGTTTATAGCATGGATTTTTTGCTTGTTTGTGCGAACTGTTAGCTTGACTTTGTTATTAACGAAACGTTAGAGAATTTTCCGGAATGCGAATAAAGAAAGATCTATGCTATATATAACTTGACAAAGGATACTTTTTTGAAGCGAAATTTTATTGAAAGCGTGCTTGCGCTGACATGCAACCGAAAGCGGTTTTCGTGATACGGATTATCACGATCTGAAATACTCGACAAATGATAGGTAGGACTATAGTTCGTTATATGAGTAGGTAGGGTACGGGTAAATAGGTAAGGATTCGGATAGGCAGAGGCAAGGGAATATAATTCGGTAGTGTTAAAAAGATTGTAGACGAAATGATAATAATAACTTTATATTATTTCAGAAAAATTGAACAATATTGTTATGTGACAGCGATGCTTTCATAAACATTATTCTGTCTGTATAATTGTAGTGTGAATTACAGGAATTTTTGTATGTCAATGAAATTCTCAGTCTCTTTAAATTGTGAATCTTGTTGTAAAGGAAATAACTAAGCAGATTAACATGTTTGATTAAACAGTGATGCTCAACTGTGTAAGTAAAATATGCTATTCGATTCTATGCTATACATTTAACATTTCCTAGCGCCAATATTTATATTTTATGGTATCCTCATCGTAATATGTATTAAATCTTCTCCTTCTTGAATTTTCTTGGCTCATTGAACCCGTTTTATTCCGTTTTGCAAATCTGTTTGGTAACAAGCCTAGAAAAATAAAGCGACGTTACTCTAGAAATATATATCTTTAACACGTAATGCATACTTTTGCGATGTAATTAGGTTAACATTACAAAGATCAACCGGCAAATTCCCGAGCAACTATAAAAGATTTATTGAACTATAGAACCATAAAAGCTTGATTTAAATGTAAAAAATATTTGTTTTTATGTAATGTGCTTGTTTGCTGTTCGCTATAAGTTTTTTAATTTACTTGTTCATGAGATTACTGTTTAATTTTATATCTTTTGAAATATAATTTTATCAGGTTGATCACACAAGTTTTGAGGAAGATTTATAAGCAAGTCAAAATGTAAACTATTGTTACCTTCATTGTATAATAAATTATTTTACATTTAAACCAATATCTTTTATAGTTGCTCGGGAATTGGCTCTTTTTTTTCACAGTTAGCTTTTATCAAGCAGTGATTTATCCTTTTATTTAACACTTATCGACTTATATACAAACCTGCTCTTTGAGCCATAATCACCAAAACGGAAACTCTTTTCTGCTGCACGTTACACAACTTGGTAATCCTACGTGGCAACATAGTTCCGTTTGACCGCAAGAACTGACTTAGAATAAGAACATCCTGCAAAACGTACAAAGCACCTCAGAGTTAACAATTAATGTAAGTCACTCGCATAACAACATAAATTACTTAAACAATGGAACTTACTGTATGTTTGACGTCAAGTTCCGTGGCGCAGAGGGGACACGCGTGTGAGTCTATCTTCACCAATAAATTCTCCTTTGTCTGCGGCACTTTTACAGCTTCGATGGTTAAGACATTATCTTCTTTCTTCTCAATTACTGCGACAAGATAAAAGTTAGAATGCTAATAAACTCGTCGTATAGGTTAGGATCGCAGTAAAATTTAACGGATCCTCGGCGTTAAGCGACGTTTATTTAACAGCAGACTCACTCTCTCTTAAACGTGTGGTTGCGGATAGCGATATGTTTCTGTTAGATTCCGAGAAAATTAAACTTTTTCCAAATTGTCTCACGGACCGAAACAAAGCCGCCATTTTTCTCCAGTAGTTCTCGCGACGTCTCGTTCGACTCGTTCGTACTTCGTAGCGATAGCTGTCGATAAAGAAGTAAACGGGTCGGTATTTATAAATATTTTGGAAATATATTTAATTCACGGAGAGTTTGCGACACATTTTGTACGCGTTTCGCAAAATTTGCGGAAAAATCGGCGAGTTAAATTGATATTTTTTTTATCTTCTTTATTACTTTACTAGCAACTGGACAAACTTGGAAATTTTTAAAGGGACATTTACTTATTACGTAATACTCATTTGCACATCCGGTTCGCATCTGCGCCACACTTGTCTGCATTTAAAATGAGACAGGCATATGTAATCGCGAAAAAAATTGAAGAGAAAGAAAGAAAATATGAAACAAAAGTAAAGAAAGTACAAAAAATTCAACTGGGTAAGGACAAACTTCACGTCGCAGGGTACACGTGGCATAATTGCGTTAGCGCGTGAAGTTGGCACCCGAACGTGCTCCATATCGAAAATCGCATAGAAATTAAAAAGAAAAAACCTATCTGCCTTCTCTCTCTAATATAAAATTTAGGAAAGAGACAGAGAGAGAGAGCAAGCTCGTAAAAAAAAGAGGAATTTTTTATTCCAAAACATCCAGACGCATTCGAAACCAACTTCAAGTGGGAGGGCGTGAATGACGCTCCGTACGCCGCGGCGTGACGTCATCACGCGCAGCCAGCCGCGCACTTCACTTCGCTAGTTCGCGCTGCCGTGTCCGCGTCCCTCGCGCCCCTTCCCCTCGTCCTCGTCGTCATCGTCGTCGCCGCCGCCGCCGCCGTCGCCGCGCGGCCGTAGCGCTCTCGCGGCAGTCGCGGTCGCCTGCGATGAGTTTAGTTTTGAAAACAAAGGGCCGGCCGCCGTTTACCGTGGTGCGTCGTCGTCGTCGTCGTCACGCGGCTCGCGCGTAAAAGGAAACGGAGCAAACGGAGGCGCTTCGTCCGCAAGCGCACGGCGCAGACGGCACAGACCGGAGAGGATTAAAACCCGGGACGAGGTCGTGGTGTCGTTGTGTACGTTCTCACGGCTCCTTCCGTCCCTCTTTCGTTCACCTGTTTACTCGTACGTCCGTCCGTTCGTTTCCTACCTATCGTTCTCTCTTCCTTTCTGTCTGTATAGAGATTATTAAATCCCGCTTATTGTCTCTTTCTCCCCCGTCTCTCCTACGCTCTCCCGACCGTCCCCCGGAGTGCCCCGGGACAACTCTCCCTTCGGATCGTCGTCGGAAACGTGATCGACACACGAAAAAAATGGACGCACTACGGGAGCAGGTGATGATCAATCAGTTTGTGTTGGCCGCGGGCTGTGCCAGGGAACAGGCGAAGCAGTTGCTGCAAGCGGCGCATTGGCAATTCGAGGTGAGAGAGAGAGTGAGAGAAAGAGAGAGATCAACGATAACGAGACGGAGAGACCGTAGGAACCAGAGCGAGGGAGACGAGGAAAGAGGACCCGAGAATGTGCGCGTCTCGCGTTGCCCTCCCGCCTCCCCCGCCGTCTCTTCGAACGCGTGTATCGCATTATGCGCGGTGCATCCTCGCTCGGACACTGCTACGTAAACAAAGCTACTTGAGCGACGAAAATGGCCGCTGGCTCGCTCGCTCGGCCGCTTCAACGCCGCGTGACTCCGCCGACGAGTTCTCGCCTTCGCTCGCGCGAGAACGCGCCGATCCGCGGTGGCCGAGGTCCGCCTCGCTCGCTTCATTCATAAAAATCGGGGCGACGTTGTTGCTGATGCGGCAACGCGCTCGCGGACGCGCGTCGCGAAGACGAGCAGTCGTAAACCCGCGTGCCACGTCTCGTCCTTATCGGACGGTTCCTCTCCTTCCGCCCCCGCGGTCGCCGTGAGCAACATCTTGTTCTTACATCATGGAACTGATGGAACAGCGACCGTAAATATATAATGGGATGAAAGATCGCGCGCCTCGATCTTCCGGCGGACGCGCGAGAACCCGTCCTCTCCGATGTCGACACGTTGCGTCGCCTTTCGCTTCGTATCTCGCGTCCGGATTGTTTGTTTTCATTCGCGCGGGGCGATCGTCATCGTTACGCGACGGGATTTCGTCGCCTATTCTTTTTAGTTGAGTCCTTCCTGCTCGGTTCATCTTTTCTTTTTTTTTCTCGCCAACGCTGCAACGTGAAAAGAAAGAGGAGACAGGTGAACCGAGCGAGAGAAATTCAGAGAAATGAATTTTGATTCATCAATAATTCGTTCGCGATGCAAGGTGTCGGTATCGATTGCGCCAGTTTTGTATCGTGTCGTAGGTCTCGCCGGCATAGTATTGCGCAATATTATTGTTCTAGGTCTAGGATCCCGAGAGAGCGATTTTATGGTATTCCTCTTCTTCGGGCTCTGTCATCGTCGTCGTCCCGCTCTCTCGCGCACCGGCGCGTGCGAAATCTTATCCCAATTGACGGACGTAGGACGACGGACGGGAGGAGATCGATAATTGCTATTTGCGGCGAGTCACGTGGTATACCGTGTTTACACACGTCTTCTGCGATCCTGTTAGGCCGACGTTACACAATCCCGACATCTCGCCGCGCCGTTAAAAGCAGGAACTGGGAACCGACTTGCGTATGTGTGAATTCGGCGAATTCTCCGGCGGGCCCACACGGATGCCCGGCGGACACGCGAGCGTGACTCACCTATGCGTAATTTTCCCCGCGGACAATGGAGTCTCTCTCGTTGTTGACATAGAATCCCACTTTCCCCGTTACATATGGTAGAGAAAATTAAATTCGGCGGGCGAATTTATGCCGCCGCTTTTTAAAGCCGGATGAGGATGAAAAACGCCGTCGATCTTTCTTCCGGAAGAATTTCATAGCTTGTAATTAATTGCGTTACTTAGATTACGGCGATTTATCGTTCGTTCTGAAAATAAAGAAAGATGAGAAAAACAAAGTTGCAACTATATGTAAATATTTTTTTGCGTTAAAGCCTGCGGAGTGAGATTAATCGTTTATCGTCCAACAACACGAAACTCCTGACCAGGGACAGCTAAAAATAGATACATATTCTTTTATATATGTGTATGCTTTCGTACACATTGAGGGTTTGAAACAACCCTTTTGAAACTTATTCAGTATATTTGATTTCAATGGAATGCTATCAAAACCATGCAGGATGTAAAAAAATGTTTTAGACAAAAGCGTTTCGTGGCATTTCATGTACTTTGTAATATTTCGAAAATGTCATATTTTGTCGCACCTTCTCCATTTTCACGCGATTCAACAATTTTATTTAGACGAAATTTAAAAAGAGCTTTTTATTGCAAAATTAATCATACATCATAATATTGTTTACAGATATTTATATATTACTGAGAAAAAAGGATATGGAAAAAGAGAGAGGGAGAAGAAGAATAAAATGGAAAATTTTGAGAAGAATAAACATGGCAATATAATCTCTTGCATTATTTACATCATCTACTCGCCAGAGTATCAGGATAAATTATGCAATAAATTTCCATATTCGCTCGTTCAGCAGTACATAATTCACTTTTAAACACTCGTCGATAGAGCAAAGAACGGAAGAATAGGAGAGAGGGAGAGAAAGAGAGAGAGGGAGGGAGGCAGATAGATAATATTGCAGCACGCTATCGTGCATCTTGATTAGAGTTAGATCGAGGAATCTTTCTGTGTCTTTGACCACAACGTAAACAATGCGGCAATGTGTATTTATATACACGCTTCGTCTCGTCTCGTCTTGGCACGGTATGTACGTGTCAGCTCGGTGCAGCGCAATATACACAGTGTCCCATTATTGTACCGCATTATATCTTAATTATTGAGAGGAGAGAAAAGATCAATCTATGGGAAAGTCTGCTTTTCTGTTTCTGTAAAATATCGCGAAAGGTCTTCGCAACCAAGTTTCATCGTTAGCTTTATTGGTCCTGAATGTTTGTTTGATACGCTGGGGATTACTTTCTTACAATGTCTAAACTTGTTAGCAGTTATATCGATTTCAATTCGTGTGGTGAAACGGCCGCAAGGTAGATAGATAGATAATAATGCGAATGTTGCGGTGAATTCTCCCTGAGAACTTTCTCCATTCGACTGGAGTGCGGAGTGTTAAAGCGGAATCGTGCTATCCGAAGCCGTCGTCGAACTTTGTATTTACTTCTCATTAAAGCCCGTCGTGTATTTTATTCTCCCCCCGTTGTCCCCCGACCTTTCTCATTTAAATAAATCAACTAGACATAAGAGAAAACATCTGGATATCTATGAATTATAATTATGTAATATTAAAAAAAACTGCTTATACGTAACAAACAAAAAATTGGCTTAAATATTCAAGCAAATGTCAAACGTCCATCAAGTAAATATCAAGCATGCACGTATTACGCGTCATTCGGATAGTTAATTTTACGTAATCGCGATGTAATTACAACCATAATCGTAGTCATTAATTAAACATTTATCGCGTTGATCATGTAACTCGTTCGGCTAACGCGATATTCTCTGAAACCGCTAATTTTACTTATTCAATCAGATTTGTTCTTCAATTTGCGGTATACCAAATCCCTTTCTCGATAAATTTTGCAAAAATAAATAATTAATTTAACTCGGCGCTTTACTCTCGCCGTGATGTTTCTCTCTCGCTGTTCTTCCCTCTAGATATTTTTGTTTTGTATTTGCGACGTCAATAAATATTGAAGAGAACAGACCACACACGCACACACACATACACATTGGATCTACCTTTGCGCGTTTATTCCTTTCGCTGCGCTCTGACCGAAATATGAAACGTGTTCCTTGCCGCGCTGGCCTATTACATTCTTATGCTAATGCCCTCAATGTACCCGAGAGTATCGAGTATCCCCGGCACTTTAATTAAACGCCGGTGGTTGAATGTCATGGTATATTGTGTAACGCGTTTGCCTTGTAATAACGAGCGTTTAAACTCGTGCCGCCTCGATTCGAAACGATTGCTCTCTAATAAACTTACATTTGTATAATTATTAAATTGTTATCGCAAGGTATAAATAGTTGCCGGCTATCGAGATGCGGAGCGAGCTGCTTATAGATAATTATTAATACATTAATAACTGCTGATAACTGACGGACCGTGTTACAACGTGATAATTATCGAATATCTTTATCGGTAGCTCCCTGGCAAGTGCAAACGTATGTTATATCCGATACGCGGGAATCGGATATCGATGCTATAAAGCATCGGACGATACTGACGAAGCGGCTTGCAAAACGAATCGAAACGTTCCGACGGGCATTTTAATGACATCTGGCAGAGTTCTTATTCGGTCCGATTACGTCGTCCGCTCGCTGTTCCTAATCATAGAGACGACTATACGATCCCTTGTACTCGATCAAGATTAATGCGCCTAGAGACAGTGACGCAAAACAGTATATTAAAACTTTATCTCAATATGTCTTACTGTCTTAAGAGTAGATTACGAAATCGGTAAAGGAAAAGAACTTCTTTAACAATTAAGCTTCAGAATTGTAGATGGTTAATCAAACTGTTTGTTTCATTACTCCAATAATGAGTATCGAGTTCCATTTGCTCCATTTTATTTTAAACTTGGAAATAAAAGAGAGATATTTATTATGTACCTGAAAAAATTCAATTTTCTATTTCTTTTTGGTACTCGATATTTGTTATTTAAAACGAGTTAACTGTATTTTACGAGCATATGCATGTATGAAAGTACAATTGAAAAGCTCAAATAATGAAGTTTATTTTAAAATTGCGTCTAAAAATGTCTGAAAGATCAAAAGTCTCAGAGAATTTAAGTTTGAGTAAACATTCTCTGCTGTACATTAGCAAAAATAATACTATGTAATATGCTTTCTTATGTATTATTTTTATGCATTATTTAATCAAGCATATTCTAACGATCGTGCTTTTTCTGTTACAGACCGCTCTCAGTATTTTCTTCCAAGAGGCGGCGATACCTTCATGCGCGCAAGGAGCCGGCACCCACTTCGGCCAAGTAAGTCTTCGGCATCGTTCACTTCTAACGTGACTGACGAGAAAAGCATACAAAGGCGAACCACGTACATCGGTGCACTCCGTGCAATAAATGAGTATTTCCGCATCGGCGAGTTGTGTGTCGTCGGTTTCGAACACTGGAGACAAGCAAGATGAAGTTTGGACTCGTTACGTGAAAGTTATATTTATAATATAAAATCTAAAGGAATGCAGCCTATAGCTATATTAATTGATCACGAATGTCAATTATTTCTTACGCAATAACTGCCATTGATTTCAGTATCATGCGTTTTCCGAGTTTTCATGTGTATTAATAACATTGTTATAATTATATATTATATTTTCATGACTCACATCGCGCAATCAATACAAAACAAGAATAATTAATAAATATACTGACGTATGTCCCATTACGCACTTGGGAAACTCAGAGAAATTATTGATTGTATTTTGCACAATTCCTCAACATTTAATGAACGCGTTATAGCTGACGTTGTAACTTTTCTTTACATAGCATTGTCGATCTCGAAACTGCAAATTTCTAAAAAGCTAAGGATCTACAATTCAACGTGTTTTGTAGACACATGTGCGTAATTTTATTAATATTTTACATTAATATTATTAAATTAAATTAAACTGATTACTCGCAACAATGTCTAAAATCCATTCTAAGCTCTATAAAGTTCTTCAAAGGTCAACAATTTATTTAAAAATTATTCTAACATGTTATATTGTCTTTGACGAAGAGTAATTCAGTTTGCCTTTTCGCTCTTTAATTTCCTGATGGGATTCGATTACAGCGATTCCCAATCCGAGCGGTCGGGTCTCCTCCTCGGCCTGGCGTAATGTGACACAACAGAGTCGCGTTGAAGTATCGGATTCAGTCAGCGAGTCGCGTAGGCCGGCGACTGGTGTGTGTTCCCGTCTTATTGATTATTCAAAAGTAGGTTCAGCGAGCGCGAAAGATCACAGAGAGCCAAGGAACAGCGCGGACTAACACGGCCGGGCAAGCCAATTCACGAATCTTCGTCGTCGTCCTCCTCTTCGCGTCGCGTTAAGGTGCAGACACATAAGACAGGAAAATCGATTCTAGCGCGTGTCTGACCTTCACTTAGGTTGACTATCATCCCTTCCGCGATAATTTACACTGCTCTTTGATTAATCGCCCGTTCTCGCGAGCTTCTTTATCCCGCGCAATTTCATAATTGTGCAAGATGACCGTGCAGCGAACTCGAATGTAGTTTGATTATATTTCTATTTCCAGCCTTTTTGCAACCAAAACAAAACGTGTCTTATTCTGACGTGGCCTTTCACACAGATTCTCGATATGCTAATTGACAAACGTTTATTTGATCCAAACGTTTATTCTGATAACTCTACCAGATTTGCGTAAACTGTCATTTACTTTTTATTTTTCTATAAAATCCAGTTCTCTGTACAACTTTCATTAACAGCCCACATAATAAAAATCCTTGTTAAAAATTATCTCTTATTAAATAATGTTTGTCTTACAGAAATCAAGATTTAAATAGTTCTTGAGCCATGATCGAGCAGAAAGGAAATTTAGACGATTGCATTTCAAAGTAAATATCTAACTAGATCTGAGAGATCCAATTTGTAGTTCCGGGGTTGACGCAATAACGTAATAACGATGAAGATAATGGTGCAACGACGTTTTATTTGGAAATTGCTCGAACAACCGTGATTGGCAGGTCAATAAATTCAGTCGAATGAGCAGTCACGTCGAGAAAAACCGGTTGCGAAGGCTTCACCAGTAAATGTCAAGATCAGCCTTTTCGATTAACTGTGATATCTAATGAAAGCGAAGGTGATGCTCTCGAGACAAAAGACCAAGGAAAACCGGCTGACGACGGCCGGCTAGTGGTAGGAGCGTTTACTATTCTCGGTCCGCGACGGCACATTCCGATCAGTCGTGTGCCAAATCTCGTCCGCAGGGCGGGATGAAACGTGCATCATGACGCACACTTTCCGGTTCCCTCTTATTTCACGCATCTGTTCCATAACCGGTCACATTATCTTCCTTCGCTGTAATTTGCATATTGTTTCATCTACCCAAGGACAAGAATATTATGCCTAGTTACGTAAGGTGTGTTATTTTACGCGATATTTTAACGTACTATAAATACTGAGTAAATATTTCTTATCTCAAGAGCAAATATTTAAAATGAAAGTATCACTGATTTGGGGAAAAAAATAAAATGTATAAGTTTAGTTTTTTTATACGGTACACGTTGAAATGCCGTATATCTTTACATGAAATTATAATATTTATACATAATTTGATTCTCGTATTGCATAAGTAGGTATTCAGATTAAAAAGTGACTAGTTTACGAGATAATGTGTGTTTTATTTTGACATATTTGAATATAAAATATATAAAATATTCATTTTTCCATGACTTTATGTAAATGCTTTTATGCACAGAATAATAAGATAAATCAACTAATGCAAAAGAAATAAATAATAGATATAGATATTGCATTTAAATAATCGTTTATGTATTTGCTTTAAAATTATTTAGTTTAAATTTAAATACATCAAACTAAAATTGAAATTAAGAGTATAGATATAAAATATGTAGATATATATTTACATAGAAAATTTTAAATGTAAAAACTGGAAATTTTTGTTTTCTATAACGTGATAAAAGATATCTATAAAATTGATAAAGAGCAACATCTCTTAGTTGCTAGCTCAGCAAATTATCTTAGTTTTTGCGATATTTTTTATGCATAAATCGAACGAGCGATTTATATTAATAAAAATGCTAGATATATCGCAGCCTTTCAAGCTTCTCGTAAAATAACAGTGGGTCATACAAAAAAGTCGAAGTGTAGAAATTTTTGTAGCGGAAGATAAGAGCATTTGATTCAGAATAAAAAACATAAAACGAAAAGAGTATCTCGCATTTCGTGAATAATCTTTTGTAATATTTTGTCGCTCAAATTTTTGAATATAATTGAGGTCATCGAAATTATTTAACCGAGATAGTCTTATCTGGAACAGTTGGGTATAGTTCATTCACGAAACATATTGAAAACGCAAAGGCAACAAGGTTCACTTTGCGAGAGAACATCGTCAATGGCGGTTATTTAATAGCCGCTTATCGGCGGCGAATTATCACAGCCGGTCGTTGCCATGCTAATACACATGTCCCCGTATTGTTTGGCCATCGTATCCGTGTACCTGACCGTCGTCACATGCAGGAGCGGAAGGTTCAACAACCCTGTTAGCTAATGGTCTTTCATGTCGATAGATAGATTTCTTGTTTGGTCTAGCCTTTCCAGTCGAAAATACACACACACACGCTTGCTCTACGTCAGTTTCTATCTATTTTTCCAATTTATAGAATAAATGTTTTGCTTGAGATAGTCTTAACTTTATAGAAATTGCTATTTGAAGAAACTTAAACAATCGGAAATTTTTAGGGAACTTTTTTCGAAATTATTTCTTCCAAGATTTTATTTTTATTTTACGAATATTAAATATATGTAAAAAGACTTACATTTTTAGTGTTAAAACACATAGATCTTTTTTAGATTTAAGATTTTTAGATTTTCGTGTAAGTTTTGTTTAGATAATTTAAAATTATCTATAATTATATATAATTATAAAATTTAGTTTCCTTATTTTCTATAAAATAAATATAAAATACACTTTTAACGAAAGAAATTTATTCCACATAATTGAATTTTCATCGATAATAATTTTAAACATTTGTAAAGAGACAGCTATTTTTTTATTTGCAGATAACACCGTGCAACACGCCAGCCACTCCGCCGAATTTCCCGGACACGTTGCTGGCGTTTTCCAAAATGTCTGCGGGTGAAAAAACTCCATCGGGTAAGTTATTAATTATGGCAACTGTAACTCTAATATGTCAGTAATTAAAAACAATGTCATACAAACTATCTTGTGTGTCTATTTTAAACGGGCTGTTATTCGCGTGAAGTTTCAGAACAGAATTCTATTTATAATTTTATACATGCTGCATATTTGAGCGTTATTTTCCATATGTATTCTCCATTAGTACTTTAGCTCAATTTTTCAAATGTTTTTCGTTTTACACGGCGTATCAAATTATAGATAAAAATATTATGATACAATTTATTTAACGGGGCTTTGCACTGGCTTGTTATCGATTACGTAGCATTACGTAACATTTTTTATTTACGGATTTTGACAAGACCTCTTCCGAAAATGTCATCGGTAAAATATCGCTAAAATATTAAGATAAACTAATATTATATTTATATGTTATGTAATTAACAGAAAAGTGCTCAATTATCACAGAACCGTCGTAAAGCTGATTTATGACATTCAGAGATCGTTTTGCTGAACGTGTTGCAGGAATGTCGCCGAGCCAGAATGGATTTCAGGCGAATTCGACACCGATGGCGAGCATCGTGCAGCATCACGCCGCCGGCGGCCGGTGTAGCGCATCCGGCAACACGACACAGCAACAGACGCAATCCCAACAGACACAATTCGGCCTGGGCGAGCCGCAGAGATAAAAATGACTGTGCTAATTGGCGATGCGCGAGCACGAGACGTCACGTAGATGCGCGCGATAACGTTTCCGGAGAACAAAATAGTGCGCTCTAAGCAAGGGAAGAGTGAGAAAGAGAGGGAACGGGAAGTGAAAAAACGTATGTACGGAAAAGAGGAGAACTCCCCCTGTCTTCTGAGAAAGAGCGCGTCCTTCCCGGGAAAAGAATGAGGAATGATTCGCGAAATTCGCGAATAAGATCGCAGCAACTACACGAGATACCTTCTACAGATTGGAACTGGATTGCTATTGAATCGTTACGTTATTCACGCACAATAAGCGACGTACATATTGTGTTACGTGCGAACGCGCGAATAAGTCCCGAGTATTGATTTCCCCGATAATGCCTGAGACAGAGAGAGTGTAACACGTATTTCGATTTCCTTCTCGGCTTCCTCGAGACATCTAATACATAGAATAGGGTCGAGTAGTCCGCTATATGTATATGTGTATATGTATGGCCGGTACGAAACGCGAGTGAGGAAGAAGAGATGAAAATCCATATCGAAGAGCCTCCTTCGTTTTTTTTTCTCTGACATGTCGGGACCATCTCGTAGGTCCAAAACGGTCGAGGACATCGACAATCCTGGAATGATCGCACTGTGAGAACGGCTCCTTCACTCCAATCTGACTTCCTTATCTCCTTAGATGCTATAGACACGTGACTGTTTCTCAGATTCACCGTACATCACCGTTAGACTAGAGAGGGTGAATTTCCGCTAATCACTTCCACACCACAGTACAAAAGAATTGCGAGGTACAGCTTCCTCGGTTACTTGAAAATTTTTACTTTATCGCACCTTTTCGCGGAAAATGACGGGAAAATGTACGTATCTTCAATGTAGGTTGAAAGTCGAAATCGCTACTGCACAATGATTCGCAGACATTCGCTTAACCACGGAACTCGAGTGTTTTATTACGATCCTTTCGCTGTTGTCTTAAAATAGTGATGCTTACGGCACACGCGTTACTCGCGCGACGCGTGCCGTTTCCATAAACGATATTTCGATGGTATAAATATAACGAGGCTAAGTATAATAAATGAAACTCTTGTAAAAATTTGTAAAAAGAGTATCCCGAGTTATGTAACGCGTTTGTTTTACATAATAAATAACTATGTAAAAAGTAAGTAAAATAAAATCAAGGAAGATCTCGCGAGTGATAAGAGTATAATAGTCTGAAGGATTGATTTAGGTGAACAGAGTATGACCGGTGAATACGAGCAGTGAGGAATTCTTGAATTCGATTATTTCGGCTACTCGCGAATAGAGATTACTGCCTGGTTTTACGCAGCACTAGACTTCACGATGTTCACAAAAGAATGCTCTTGTATGGCAGCTGGCAATACTGATTCTGATATCATAGTATATCAATATCCGAATATATGGAACTCTGTATCTTTCATTATATTTCTCGTAACATACATGGTCGATTATTCATACTATAGATACATATTTGTTTCCATTAAGACTCTATTTATTCGATGTAGCAGCGAATTTAGTTCTTCACAGCTTTTTAGAAGCCCGTTTGAGGTTCCCATTCCTTTGCTGCAACCTTATTGAATTATGACATAGGAAGTGAAAAATCGTGTAAATTTTTTTTCTTACACTATATATCGAAATAAATTAGTTCTTTTGTATGCCAATATTCGCGTTAAATACTGTAGATTGATAAAAATATACCGAAAAAATGCTTCTTTTTCTTTTTTGCTTCCTCATATAGGAAGCTTTGTTATTATTTTACATGCATTAGTAAATGCAATATGATATAATGTCTTTTTCAACGAAAATGAACATTATAACTTTATGAAGATGTGTAGGTAATTTACCTAGAAAAGACCGTCTTTAATATATTTTATCAATCAATAATGTCAAATATGCATGTAAAAGGACTAATCTATTTCTACAATATAGAAAAAGTATTTGTATGATTTCTTGCTGTTAATGTTACAATTCAATACGTGGTAGTGCGGTGATAGGATCCTTAACGTAAAACAACTAACAGAGAATTCTTTATTCTTTATAATCTCTCGATATATCAGACAGAAAAATGTCTTTACAGACACGCAATACGGTGTATTCGATCCTTTTATTTGTAGTTATATAATAGATAGTCTCGATCATAATAAAAAATTTTTAGGTTCAAGCTTAATTTGATAATTTAACTTTCATGCAATAGCATCCAGGCGTCGTATAACTTTGTTAATGGGTTTATTGTAAATAATAGTAGATATTTAGTCGTAAGAAAAAAAAAGTACTTTGTGAAGGTACGAGATATTTTTTCCAATAAGGTACACGCTTTAATATCTTCCTTACGTTTGTGTACTGTCTAGGCTGTATTCAAAGATGATATAAAACTATCGACGAGGAACGAGAATGTTTTACTATGTTGAAATTATGATTATTGTTTATTTGACTATTACAAAGACAGATAATGGTCATGTACATAATTTTGAAAAATTAAATAAAATATTGATAACGGTACTTTTCCTCCTCTTCTTTCTTAGTCTTGGCGGTCTAGTTTCATTGCTACCTTTGTACTTTGAGAAAGTTTGAGAACGAGCAGTTGCTTTTAAAGTATACTATAAAATGACTACTATGTACATTTGCTTAATGCATACGATGTAAGATATGTACAGGTACACGTAATTTCTTAAGCAGCCGTAGAAGTTACTTCCGTACGAGAAGTTTAAAATACGTAATGTAGCAATTAATAAGTTACTTAAAAAACTGGTAACTATTAATATCACTTTCCAATGATATTTTTCGAGTATGTTATCACGGTATAAAATATACAAATACACGACGAACGTACGCGACGCGCTCGTATTTTTGCCAATGCGCGTAAAAAATCTACATCAATTATATATTAAAATTGCCGTATGTAAAATCGCGTTCGTATTTTTGCCTTTTGTAAGTTGTATTTACTGCGGTGGTATCTCAACGCTTTTTCCTAGACCCGACCATCTGTCTGGCACCGGCAGGAAGTAGCGGTGCATCGCGGCTATAAACCTAGCGCGGTATTCCTCCGGCGATATTATGGTCGGCAATTTACCTTGGCCACCCAATATACCGGATTTCTTCACCATTGTTTCCAGCTTTTTGTCCCACGTGAACGTCCTTATGTAATCTACGTGAATTGCGAGAGATAACGAGTGAGATCGATGCCAGTCGACGAAAAGACAATAATATACGTAGTCATTCTTACCTATTATTCCAAGTACGAGCTCGTCGGAGCTCGGTTCCAAGCCTACTAACAACGAATAGTCCATTACCGAGTTATCGGCTAAGAACTTGGTGTCTTGTTCGATGGCTCGATTTAATACTGCCTTGGAATGGGATCGTATATACAGAGGAGAGTCACAGCTCACTGAAATGCGAATGCTATCGTTAATTTTACGACTAATACTTATTCACAGATACTTAGAGAATACATACTGTTTAACAAATTCTCATCCAGTAAGACCAGTTCACCCTCGTGGCACGTGTCGTCCGGATTCACCAGCCGATTCCGCACGGATCCCTTCAGGTCGAATTTGTCAGTGATGATTCGATTATAAAAGAGATTCTCCATCACTAACACGCTGGTACGAAGCGCTGCGTTAGTCGTATTGTTTTTGAATGACACTCTGTACACACCGACTATCTTGCCTAGCAATGTCGGTTGCTTAGTTTGCTGACACCTTTCCATGTAGGCGAAATAGTTGGGCGCAAAGTCGAGGAAGATCTGCATGTCAAGTCGAGACATCTCTTTTATGATGAATCTATCATCTGCAAAGAAAATTATCTCGATAACGTGCTGTAATCGAAGCGATTAAAGATCAAAGACCTTTTTTTGTAGAATGTATATTTCTCTTTTATCTTATTGTGCAGATTAATTATAGTGAATGCAAGTTTAATGCGGTTTGTAGGATGGATAGTTAAATGAAGCATACGACATCGTACCTCTGCTCTTGCAGAAGGCACTGCCGCTCTTTCCGCCTCTCGCCGTCCATTGCACGGTCCGACTTAGGCTCCTCGTGAAACCGTCCTCGCCGCAGGGTAGAACGTTCTCCCTCAGCGCGGCGAACTGCGCGGCAAAGTATATCCTGCAGAAGAAATTGGTCGTGGCATCGTTGAACTGCACCTCGATATAATTCTGCTGCTTGGTCGCTTTCTTATCGTCGTCGACGTCAGGAGCGACGGCGCCACCACCACCGCTCGTTTCCGCGCTTGACACATTCTTGTCGGATTCAATGGGACTGCTGGCTGGATTGGGACTGTTGCCTCGGAAGAAAGACAGCACGGACGGCCGCTTGAACTCGCCCGATTGCGCCAGGGAACTGTCGAGGGAACTGTCCCTACCCTCGGGAAACTTACGTTTGCTTAACGGACTGGGATTTAATTCTGGTCCCTTCGCTGTACGTAAGAGCTCCTGCAACGCGTGTTTGTAGTCGTGCGAGTCCAGGGCGTACGCAATTATGGACGAGAGCTCGGATTCGTAGACCACTATAGGTACCACGGATCTACAAAAGAAGTGTGAATTTTATATACATTTATTTCACAGTGTCCACCACCGTACAGTGGAATACCACAAGATTGAGATTACAAATCATGCGACATACCCGAGAGGCAGCAGGTAGTGCTCTAAAGGCCCCAAGGGATTCGATATTGTATGGTTGACGGAAACGGACGGTAGCAATTGCGACAGGATCGTCTTCTTCTTCTTCTTCTTATCCTGAACGTCGTCGGAGGATAGCGGCAAAACGTCGGAATGCGATCTCTGATGCATCTTCGGCGAGCCCGGAACGTTGACGACATCGTCGGGATTACCGGGCGGTTCCAGAGGCTCATTGTCAGAATTCTCGATCAGCTCGGACGCTTGGACGTCACTCTGCGCCACCGCGATCGCGTCGATAGCGTTGTAATCGGCCGACATGGGACTCAGGTCCTCGACCTGCGACTCCGACGCGGTGTCCTCAGTTATGTATCCGTCGGTCTCGACTATGCTGTTGCTGCCGACCGTCATGGATCGTTCGGTGAATCGACGCGGCCGTTCGTCCTTCTTCTTGACCGACATCTCCGACAATTTGTTATTCCACGCGAATACAGCCTCCGCAATGAGCCGTTTGAGTATCACGATGCCATCCTCGATTCTGAACATCAGCCCTTGCACTTGTCTCTCAGACGTCTTACCTTCCAGCTTCTTATTTTCCAGTGTTGGTGACGTTAGCTTCAATTGGATTTCTTCAATCTTGTTCTTGAAGTACTGCTGATCCTTAGCTAGTTGCTGCTTGGCAAGGTTCAGGACTTCCAAGTCCGTCTGCAGACTCGTTAGCTTTTCTCGTATCGCCGTGAATACCTCGTCGCCCTTCAACGTCACGCTCTTCATCTCCTCGATCACGTTGGCGTGCTGCTTCGGATCGTAGATGATGTTGATTAACGGCGGCGGCAGGGAGATCTCCCACTGCGAGATCTTGGTGAACTTGAACACAGCCAGCATGTTCTTGCGCGTGAAATATTGATAGTGATCGTGGTGCAGGGAATGCTGACACGCGTCCATACCGCGTTTCGTGTAGACACCACCGTAGAAGCGTAGCTCGAGATACTTGGCGAATGACAGGCACCACGTGTCGCCTGACATCGGCACCACCGGCGACACGCTCTTACACTTGACGCATTTGCTCCACATCAGGATCTGATCGGTGTCCTCCTGCACGAACGGCTCGCAGCTCATCTCGCTCAGGGTGATGTGCACACAGCCGCCGTCGTGCGCGAAGCGTCTAACGTGCTGAGCGATTTGCGCGCGGCAATCTTGCGCCGGACACCTGTATTCCATCGTCAAGCAATAACGTTCCAGAAAGCGGCCGAGCGCGATGTCGTTCTGGCCGTACATCGTCATGTTTACAACCCAGGGATTCACGCAGAACGCCGGGGTGTCGTTGCCGGTGTGCGAGAAGCTGCAAAATAGAACGGAGAGGCGTTGGTGGCTGCTGGGATCCAAACAATCCGGCCAGGAAGGCATCTGCTGCTCGCCGCTCTCAAATGACGCCGGTGATTGCTGCATTCTGTCCAGCAATACGTTATGCGTCGGATGAATTCTGTTGCCACACGCGCGGAAATTCGCCAGAAGGCTCTGTACCTCGCGACCGTCTACGTCCGTGGTCAGACGAGCCTGGACGAACGGATGCTGCGGCTTCAGCTTGATGTTCATCCAGTCGCGATTATCAAACTGCTCGCTCACAGTCACGCTGTTCGTCCGAGTCTCCTTGATCTTGTCGAGAAATTGCGCCGAGTAATAGATATCGCGCGGGAAGAAGCTCCTCAGCACGCAATTCCTCCCGATTTCGGTCTCCAGATAAGGTATTGAAAATTTTAAATACGGCGACACGCTCAGCACCGTGTCCTCGAGCGCCTTCTTAAATTTGTTTAACAGTGGAAAATCAGCGACGCACACGCTCAGACGTTGACCACTCGGACTCGTACGATTGAACACATCCTCGTCATCCTCGTTTAGATATTGGTGCAACGGATCACTCCGATCGCTTATGGACTCCCCGTAGATACGCTTCTCTTCGGAGGATATTCTGTCTTTCAACTTCGCCTTGTCGACGAGTTCGTCGGTCTTTCGCTCGACACACGTATCTTTGTTCGCGAATAATTCCATGGAGTTATCACATACTTCCGTAACATCGGGATCAAGGCCCGAGGTATTTACTACCAAGTCCTTAGATTTATCATCGTTATGTGGAACTGTGTCGTTTTCGCCAGATATTGGCGCGGTATCCTTCGAATCATGCAGAGATGGTTTTAATTTTGTTTTAAATAACTTTAAGGTGTCATAGGGATCTTCTGATAACATCGACGATACTTCTTTTAGAGAATTTGTATTTAAAATATTCTCAGAGTCATTTTCATTCCTTGCAGATATACTTGAATTATTTGTCTGAACATTCTGTACCTTCTGCTCACTGTCAGGGATACCTTCGTGATTTTGATTTATCTTGGACGATTTCTTCGTCACATCGATCGCGTGTGTTTGTTCATCGATAACGCAGCTTTCGAGTTTCTCGGTCTCCTCGCCATTCGAAGAATCCTTTTGAGACGTTTCATCCAGAAATGAATTGTCCTTAGGTGACGGCGGTTTAGCGAATTCATCCATGAGGAATGACTTTTCGAGACGCCACGAGTAAGCCGCGAAGATCATCATCGATGTGACGTTTTTCACCTTCTTTAATTCGAATTGTGATCCGCCTCGCAATACAATCGTCGCGCCTAAATGCGGATTTGCACAGCCTTCAAAATACATCAGTGTCTTGACACCTCCTGAAAGAGAGAGACAAAAGAAAAGAGAATTTAAGTTATGAAATGTGTATAATTATATACATATATATAATTATACTTACTTCGCTCATCTGGAAAATTTCTTAAATAAAATTTCTTGCACGTGCCAAGCATATATCTTGCGCTTATGTGCGCGTCTATAGTGTTAACAATGCTAGCGCCCGTGCATCGCGCGACTCTCTTCAGTACACTAAGTTTCACATTTAGCACCAATGTCACACCGCATTCCCTTAGTCTATCCTGAGCTAATCTGGCTACGGATCGATGTACTAGTACTACATCCGGACCCAGAGCGGTGATTCTCGCCACTGTGTGTCCCAGATACTCACTCTCCTAGAAATTTATTGAAGAAATTATAATATTACAGCGTTATCTTTAAAAATAATATAAATATTAAGATTGAATAAGTGAAGATAGTAAAAGTTTATAATGTACCTGCATCATTACAGGCTCTAGGCTTATCAGTTTGCCCTCTACACGCTGATACATCAGTCCGCATTGCAACAATAAGATTTTCGGATGAGCGATCATGGCGTTCATACCGCGATGAGCGATGTTCTTGCTACAAATTATGCCAGATACGATCTCGCAGTCATCTCTGCTATCACCGGGACATTTCTTGAATTGTACGTACTGTCGAATATCCAAATTATCTGCGTCATGATTCAGATCCGGTCTAACTTGATCGATTATCTGATGCGCGATAGACAGAATCGTATTCGACCATGTTTGCGACAAGCCTTCTTTGCTAAGAAGTTGTTTAATGAGAGAATCTTCATGCGCTTTGTACGCAGATCTGTAAAGTATAAGCAAATGTCATTTACTTTCCTATCCTACTACCATTATAATTAACTGCAAAATATCGAAAAAAAAACTCACGTTAAACACTCGTACGCGCTTAATTCGCCAAAGGCTGTTCTCAGATTAGTCGCTCTGTGCCAACCGTTTTTCTCCTTGAATTCGTGCACTTGAAGCGTGTCGCTTAAAAGGTCGTCGCATATCTTGAGATTGCAGTCATGCGATTTAAGATTAATTTCCTTCTGCTCGATTATTCCGTCGCTACTATCGACGGAAATCGCGGTTAAATCCTCCGAGGTAGGTCTCTTTAACGTGACAGTGGATGCCTCCAGATTTAAATCTAAATAAAAGCTCGAACTAGACGACGGCAAACGACCAAAGGTTTGCGAGTGCGAGCTCATCGGTCTAGTTTCGCTTTCAGAATCTGTAAGCAAATCGAACATCGTTGAGCAATTGCTTGTCTCATCGTCGAAAATCTCAATTTGTCGTATTACCCGTAGCCGAGTCATGTTGAGGAATAGTTTTTACCCAGGCTGGCTCTTGCGCATCGCATGTCGTCCGCTTTTCCGTTAATAGATCTATGTTTTGCAAAGAGGATAACGGTACCGGTCTGAATACGGTCGCCGAATCGCTGAATACATAATCAGGGGCAACCGATTCAATGAAACCCGCTTCTAGTAAGGCTTGGCCTATCGCAGTCGCCTGCACACTAAAAAAAAAACTTGAGTCACAATCTCAATTCCAATTAACGCGATTAGAAATAGCAATCTAATTTTGCCGGATTGGGGAATGTACCGAGTGGCCGCTTTATTCTGAACTATCATCCAATTCACTAATTCGTTCGCCAAAAAACAATTGTAATAGCTCTTCAATCGAATTCTGTGCGTTTGCAATTGAATAGCCTGACTAGAGCGGAACAATTCTTCCCAGATCATCCTTAAAGAAGCCGAATTTTGTAACACAAGTGAGCGTTCCTGCGATGTTAAATAGCTGCCGCTCGATCTGTAAAACACACACATGTAAGTCATAAAAAAATATATATAGATAGATAGGCATATATGTAGATTAATTCTCGTACGGTCCAGTCGCGTAATTTTCTTCCATGTATCCTACGCTCGGCTTCCGACATATCGACGTTTCGTCGCCCATGGTTTCGTTAGCGTGTTTCCGTGCTAATAGCGGCGAATCATTTCCGTACTTCACTTGAAGATCCTCCTGCAGGGCTTTCAAATCCGCCGATAAGTCGCTCCTCATGTCCGACGATTGCAAGTAGGAAAGAACTACTTTACAGCAATATGTACAAACTCTAAGATTTCCTGAAAAACATATGAAAAGAAACAAGTAATGTAAAGAATTACACACACACATACACACGCGCGTGCATTTCGATAAATATATATTTATAATACCGGTGCATCCCATGATTTTCCCCGGTATTTGATCAGAACAGCACTTGGCACAGAAAATTTGCCCGCACACGCGGCAGTGGTGCTTTCGTCGAAACGTCGTAAATCTTTCGCCGCACTCGTAACACTGTTTGCTCACGCTATCCGGCATCCAGAAGCTCCTTAAGTGAGAATCCTTGTACGAACGTAGATTCTGCGACAATACAAATAATTTTCATTCTAAGAAATCTCATGTAAAGCACTCGTGCAATGTGAGGGTATCTTTGAAACTTACATTGCTTTTTAACGCTACAATATTGCTGATGCGCTTTAGTACATTTGGTAAGCTACGGCCCTCGCTAGTATCTAATGGGAAATTTATTATACTGCTACTATCGTCGTCCGGGGTTTGTTCCGTGCTCTCCGACTGCTTCCAGGACTCTGAGTCTGAAGAGCTGCGCTCGTCGTTGTTGGAAGACACCGTGGAATCGTTAGCGCTATCTAAACATTGATCGCAACAATCAGAAATTATTTACTGGGTATAAGAGTGACTATTATTTTGTCATTATAACGTCATCGGCTTATCAAGCCTTAAGAAAACACCGCAATAAAATTGCAATATTTTATTACAATAACATACATTAATATCTATTTAATATGGTGATAAGGCACCGATAAACTATGCATGTTTACGTAGGCTAAATAACGTCTGGATACTAACTCCTGGTGAAGCTGAAGAACTTGGAGAAGAGCGACGCTACGACAGGTTGGTTCTCCTCGGGGCTCAACGGAGCGAACTCCGTGAGCTTCGACGGTGAATTCATGTTCCTGTTCATTCTCACTGATACTATCTCCTCGCGCGCATCTTGGAGCCAAGCGAAGCCACAACAATCAAGAGCGCACGTCTCTCCCGATCATTACCGTGCCACCATCGGCATGCTATCGGGCACTATCCCCGATCCCAATCCTGCCGAACAGATGCGACGCACGGAAACAGCCGGGGCCACCGGGACAGCAGGGAGTTCTGACAGCGATGACAACCGATCAGATGATCGCGATCGTAGCGACCACTGGCACCGACACTCGGGAAGGGAATCCGTTCGTTAGCGCCCCAGTGTTCACGAAAGAGTGCATCCCGAACTACGTTGCCGCGTTCACGAATGTTCCCAATGGGTAATGTGCCTTGATGACTTCCGAGTTCCAGTTGCGCTGGCAATACGACAAAGATAATTAATAAAAATACGCGACGCCATCCAGCACGTTCAAAAAATCATATCTCTGATTAATATTAAATGTCGAGACGTTTTCAAAATAATACGATTGAATTTTTTTCTACTACAATAAATTTTTTCAAACTCCATATGAACATGGTATGTCAGTGATAAGAAGATTCGAGAAATAAAGTTTATCTTTTTTTTGCTCGGAAAAGAATTTATGGAAATTAACTTTAAATTTTATTTCGTTCCAATTTTTTATATTATGAAAACGAAGTAAACCTATTAAATTGCAAAATTGTTTTAATTCATTAAAGTCAATTCTTGAATTGTTAAGATTATGTAATTCTCCTCCTCTCAGACAAAACTATTAGAGAAACAGTTAAATAATAACGGATTAATTTGTACGAATACATTTTTTATCATGCAATATAAATTTTTTATTCTTCAATTATACATTAGACGATTAGACTAAGGATCCTGTAAGTCCAAAAAGTACTTAATTAACCTTATTGAAAAAATAATAATTAAATCTATGAATATCTTATTAAATCTTATTAAAAAACGAATTAAAAATACCTTAGTAAAATTTATTATCAATAAATATTGAGGCATAACGGTGGCGTGTAGCAGCAAATATTATTGGTTTTGATATATTTTCAGCTTCCGTATTTTTTAAACGCTTTAACACATCTGTCATGTTTGAGTAAATTTTATATCTCTTCGGTACACAATCTCTTCTTCAGAATTTGATTTACACGCAATAATGTTCATCCCCGGATACTTGGTTGGAGTGGTCGTAAAAGATATCTGCGTTGCTACATTCTATAAATTTAAATATGATCCAAAGATTATTGAACAGATACAAAAATATATATAGATAAAGTAGAAGTTGACAAATAAATTTACCTTAACATCAGGAGATGCCTGTACCTCTTCTTCCTTCTTTCTTTTCTTCCCACTTTTTAAACGCTTCAACACAGATGTTAGGTTTAAAAGTTTTATATCTCTTCGGCGCAATTTCTTCTTCAGACTTTGATTTTCGTGTATTAATTCTCGTTCCCGAATACTCGGTTGAAGTCGTCGCAGAGATATCTGCGTTTCTACATTCTAATTTAAATACGATACAAAAGTTATTAAACAGGTAACAAAATTAATATAAAGTAAACGTCAACGAATAAATTTACCTTGACATCGGGAGATGCTTGTACTCCTTCTTCCTTCTTTCTTTCCTTATCCACTGGTGTACATGACAAGTCCTCTGTATCTATAATCTCTGGAGACAAAAACGACGAAGTACTTTCATTCCTAAAGACAGATACTGTCTGTATTTTCTACTGTCGAGTTATCTGGACTGGTGATATCCACAGATTGTGGAGAAATGCTTGGAATTGCATTTTTGTTTAATATAAGCTTGTTACTGACCCGACGATATTCCGATTCATGAAAATGAGCGTTGCACACTCGTAAATGTGATCGATATTCCTTCACTGTTGGTATAACACGCAGCCATTCCTTTAACATATCTTCCGATTTTGGAAAGCTAAAATTAAGTATATAAAATACAGAATTAATAAATCTGACATTTAAAGAAACTATCGGAGGTTACGTTTGCACATTTCAGAAAATTTGATTACCTAAAAAATGATATGTCCTTTTCCGTTGTCCATTTGTCCTTGCAAATGCAGCAGTATTTCACCATTATATAACTGTTATTAAATTGAAAACAAATTTTAATAAAATTAAAACTTTCAATGAGAGAGAAACTTATTTCATCTCTCATCCCGTGTTATTTGTTTTGATTCGCAACCTGGCTCTATTGTATAGTAACGCGCATTCTAGGGATCTGTCTTTTTTTTCTATTGTTGAACTGGCTACAGTGCTGCACCAGTGCAGTGAAGTAAAAAAAATATAAAAGGCCTAGTTTTTACGTAAACTTCTTGCACGGCCCATCTTTCCTCTTTTTCTCTCCAACGGGAAAAGGAAAAGAGGAAAGATGAACCGTGCAAGAGGTTCAGCTGAAAAAGAATAGGCCTATTATTAGACACTCTCGTTTAAATTTCGCGCTTTTATCGATACAGCAATTAGCGGATGCGCGCGAGTATCGATACTATCGAGGCGATGAGTCTCGACTCTCGAGTCTCGAGCGCCACCGGCCACCGGCGGCGCGGCGGCACCGGCCGGCTTCCGCCTTTCCGCCTTCACGTTCTCACGATCACGTCATTCACGTCTCTCCCGTTTGAACCGGCAAGGCGATCACATCTCACATCGTTTGCGTTCCGTATATATATATATATATGTATATATTTCGGATCTCTGAAATACAAGTAAGTCCCTAATTCATTGTGCTCCTGCATACGTAACACATATAATATCAATCACATATAATATCAATCAATCAAATTGTTTCATTTCAGGCGAGAAAAGACGCTGCATGACGCGAGTTCGAGAAGCGCCAGCGAGTCCAAGTATGCGGTACTTGCGGTAGTCGCGCGTTCATCAAAATGTAAGTATTCGGTGTACGTTAATTTTGTACATTAATAATATGTAATACATATTGGTACAGAGACACGGTTTTGTTATGCGACGCTTGGCATTTATTTTTGTGCACGCGTTTGCGCCGTAAGCCGCGCCGCGCCAAAAAAAAAAGATCGTTGCGTCGTTATTCAATTTCGTCCCGATGGTCGAATCGGAGCGATCGGAGCAGCCAACCAAGCGTGCCGTTCTGCTGTGCGTAATACTATTTTACGTCGCGAGATATTTCGCAGTGATTATTACGACGGTGTCACACATCGAAAGGACACATAGCTCTGTGTTAACCATCGGACTATTTGTTTACGCGACGGATTCATTCCCGCGCCATTTGCACGATTCGTGAATGCGCTGAGATGCTTCGGTTGTTCGTCGCGCGTGAGCGAACATGAGCTTTTTTTATAAATAATGTCAGTAATCTTTTCACATTTTTTACCGGTTAATTTTTGAGAATATTTATAACAAGATTTTTTCATCGACTTTAAAATGGAAAGCTCGACTTGAATAAATTTATATTTAAAGAATATCATACTACAAATACTTTTGAACGTCTGAAAAACATGAACACATAATTTTCTTGCAATATTAAAACATTGCGATAGAATCGTAATAAAATCGATATCAAAACGTGTGCTTAATCGTAATTTACGTAAATAGAACAGGGAAAACTTAACGCAAACTAAATAGATTTCTTAATGTCACAGTTCAAATATGATTACTTCAAATGCTTCGTTATATAAAATATTATACACACAGATAATTACGCGCGATAAAACTTCACAAACGCGCGCCGTTATCGAAGAAACCGCCGCGCTATATCACTTACGCAGCAACATTCGACCGAGCAGGTATAGTGTTACAAGACGCTCCGCATACCATCACGTACGTTACTTCTTATCGATTTCTTCTCACTAATAGTTCACGAGAGAGCGTCGGTTCTTTCGATGATTAAACTTTTACGATTAACGTTTTGCACATGTATCGAGACAACAGTAGTTTGTCAAAGTAGATACTTCACGTAAATTTTTATTAGAAGTGAGAACCGCAAAATGTCATGATGAAGAATTATAAATTACTATATCATTTACTTTTTTGTAGGAGGAGGATCAGAGGAGAGATCGAGAAGAGGGTTCAGGATCAGACCTCCCAGGAGAGGCATCGAATAACATTCGAACGAGTAGGTATAGTGTTACGAGACGCTCCGCATATCGTCACGTACGTTACTTTCCATCGATTTCTTCTCACTAATAGTTCGCGAGAGAGTAGTAAATTAAAATTATACAATGTATGTCATTCTGTCTTTATTATTCATTAATTGCCAAAAAGGATAGAACGACGTCATAAGTGAGAATTATCTGAATTTTGATGTAAATGGAAAGCACCTAATATGTATAATGTATCCCCGACAGGTAACCACATATGTTCCTTATTTTTGTTCTATCACTTTCTTTAACTCTTATTTATTAAGGGGGAATATGCAGTCAGAGGCACCAAAAAAGAGGGATTTTCTCGATTTTTTTTTACGTAAACGTATTAACTTTTTTATTCAGAAACTTTTACATGATATTAATATATGTTTGAAGAACTTCTTGTATTTTTTTTAGTAGAAAATAATAGTTATTATAATTTTGGCGAATATTTTAATACAACTTCTAAAAAAAAAGTAGCATCCCGGTGGACATCATATCTCGAGACAGGATTATCTAAAATAAAAAAACCAAGAAGATTTCGTTAGTAGATGACTTTATCTTCCGTGTGAACGAAGGATTTCGAAAAAATTGAATTTTGAATTTTTTAGAGAACTTTGAAGTTTGAGTCACGATTTTTACTAAAAAAAATTGACCATTTCATTTTTGTAAAACAAGTTCTCATCGTTGAAAAAAAAAATCCTTTGTCCACACGGAAGCTTAATATGTATAAAAGAAGTGTGTAAAATTTCAAAAAGATCGGTGCAGTAGATTTTGAGATATCGTGTTGAGATATCCACCGACTTCAGTATGAATAAAAGCCAAAATTATTTGCCAAAATTATAATAACTATTATTTTCTACTAAAAAAAATACAAAAAGTTTGTCAAACATATATTAATATCATGTAAAAGTTTCTGAATAAAAAAGTTAATACGTTTATGTAAAAAAATTCGAGAAAATCCATCTTCTTTTTGCGCCTCTGACTGCATATTCCCCCTTAAAAAATGAATGTTCAACTGATATATAATCTGCAGCTTAAGTCGCATTAATAAATATATGATATTAATTAAATTATATTTAATTAAAAGGAAAGAAGTCAGTGTGTCGATGTTGAGAGAAAAATCAAATATTGATTAATCAAGGCAAATTTTCGATTGTTGTTATTTCGATTAATCGAGAAACATCGCCCATTCTTACACTACTCTGTTTTGTAATTTGTGTATCTTTGCGTACGACTGAAATTTATAATGTGTGATTTAAACTTTTTAGGCACTCATATGATCAATATTGTACTGTAGTACAGATGTAAGTATAATTTATAGTATTTATACAAATCTATTTTTTCTAATCTTCTTGTTGTTTTCTTGAGTACATGAACAAACTGTAAATCCTAACTTAAAAATGTGGTATTGTATTTTGTTAAGTGTCAAGAAACCTAAACACAGAGTTGACGTCACGTTAAACACTAAATAAAAAAAATGTATTTTGTTACAGAGATTGATAAATTTGTATTCCATTATTACATCTTAGGACTCAACATGAATGATGAGGAAGAGTTCCTACTTACAGAAGATAAAGATCGTGTAAGTTTTTCTTCATTTTTACTACTTATTTTTACTACATATTATTAAATATTATTTAGGTTAATTTTAATTAACACAGTACTATTATTACAAGAAAAGTTTATATATTCGTGGATGGTAACATGCTTTGAATTGTTTATGTTTTAGGAACAAGTACGAGAGGAATTAAAACATATGAGTTTTGAGGATTTTTTTACAGAAATTAAAGGAGAAATTAGGTACCAATGAGACGGTATTTGGAAAGAAAATTACGAAAAAAACTGAGAAAATAGAGTTTAAACGGGAAAATAATAGGCCACGAGAGATTTCTGCTAAAAAGCCAGTTCCCAAATATAAAGAGTTAACTCGAGTCAAAAAAGTTGTATCTCGGGATCCTAGATTTGATAGTTTATCTGCAATGGTATGTTTGATGAAAAGGCCTTCAGACATTCTTATGCATTTATTAACAAGTTACGAGAAAACGACCTCAAAACTTTACAAAAAGAATTGAAAGAAACAACAAATCTAAAAGCTATAAAGAAAATAAAATATCTCATTCAGAGGCTTGAAAATCAGTTAAGGGAGGAAAAGAAAAGGAAAGAGAAAGTAGAAAAGAAGCGGCAAGAAAAGGAAGAGCTACTAGAATCTGTTAAACGAGGAGAGAAGCCTGTCTCCAAGAAAAAATGTAAGTTTAGCTTATCGTTAACATAATACTGATTGATATTATATTGTTTTATTTTATCTTATTTGTCTTTTGCAGCTGAGAAGAAAGTTTTGGATTTGGTCTCACAGTATGAAGAATTGAAAAATACAGGTAAACTGAAGAAGCATATTCAGAGACTGCGAAAAAAGAATAAACATAAAGACAGGATAAAATTGAAAGCAAACAGAACGGTAATTTTTTCTAATATCTATGGAACTATTTATATTTATTAAGATACAACTCTCTAGATATAGATATAAATATTTTATTTTTGTTGTCTGAATTCTCTATTGTCTAGGAAAAAAAACTTTACATTTTTTTAAGTTAAAACATTCAATATATATCTATATATTATATTAAAATAAGTATAGTTCATAATAACTTTAAAACGTTAAAACTTTTACACTCTTAAAAACGGGCCCTTATATTTTAATTCTATTAATATTATTATTAATAGAATTAAAATAAAGACCCATTTTAAAGTTTTAACGTTATAAAGTTTATAAGAAAACAAAATAGAGGCCTACATTATTTTTTTCTTTATACAATTTACAATTATAAACTTGATTTTATATTATACCAGCTTTTATATTGCGCATTAAAGTACTTTATTCCTTCCCACGGGTACGACCTTGGCGAGGTGGGAAGGCCCAGTACCCAGTACGAGGATTTTACCCAAGCAAAACTCTTGTTTTGCTTGGATAAAAATCTAAAGACGGGGAAGCTAACGTACCCTCGTCCGCCGATTTGATTTAATAAACAAACCGCAGCCGGTTTGTCGCGTTTATTTCGGGAGTGCCGTTCAAGTAATCGGA